TCTTTAAAATAAAAAACATCTATATTGTTCTGACTTTTCTACATCCAACTCACAGGTTTATCATTACTTTGAGAAAAAAGATTATTAATTTAATCCTTTTAGAAGGGAAGATATGGTCATTTGTTCTGGGAAAGTCATTTTCGAGCCTGAGACCTGAAAAACAAGCTCAGGGATAAACAGGTTAAAAGAATCTACCCTATGCATAAACGAAACCTCAATCATAGCGAACTCTATCTACTTACTACAACTCTATATCTATCTAACACCCCTCCTCCCCCCTCAATGAATATCGACCAATCACGTTCTTTCAACAGTTTAAAAGGGGAGTGATTAGTAAAACATGCATAAATAAAAAGAAAGAATGCTAACTAGGTAACATAAGATAAGAATAAACACGTTTAAATGATTTGTTATTGGTTGTGATCATATTCTAAAGATGTTTGGATTATTGAAAAGTATACAGCTCCCTTTCCCTTTCCCTGGAGTGTTGAGAGCTGTATCCATAAATTCATTTTGTGCTCAAAGTGCACCAGATTGATGCATTTAACTTCAACATTTAAAAATAATCTTCCCGGGGGTGCATGCACCCGGACCCCCCTAGAGGAGGTGAGGTCCACCCCTAGAGGAGGTGAGGTCCACCCCCAAATAAAGCAGGTTAAAAATAATTAAATTGCATACATGTTCTTTTAGTAAACACTGAAAACAGGTCCCACAGACCCAAACAGCACACAAAGGTTAAAGGTCAGCATATAATAATGTTAAAATGTGCTAAATATATACACTGCAAAAAACAAAAAAAAGAGGAGTAAAAGTAGCTCACGACTTGTTTTATTTTTTGAAATTAGCTCTCATCCTAAAAAAGGTTGGAGACCCCTGCATTAGAGCGTACAAACTGTAACTATAAGAATCTGAAATAAATATGTGTACTGAAACAAATACCAATAACTGTATTGCATTGTTTTCTTATTGTCTTCTAATTACTTTATACTGTCTTTATCTTTTTCGTCCTGCATTTATTGTGCCCCCCTCAGAAAATAACTGGCCCCCCCAGTCAAATTGGTCTAGAACCGCCACTGCGGCCGATACCGAGCGGCCTATGGGGATCTTCCATTTAAAGTGATGTTTAAAACTCAGTTAATAGAGAACCGCAGTGACGCGTCATAAAAGTAAACTCCTTCCGGTTCCTTCGTCAAAAAAGCAATCCAGTTTCTCCATAGGATTTTGGAAAATAGCTCGAAATAAGGTCTGTGGTTGACACACATTTAAGAGACGGATCACGTTTTGTTCAGCCGGATAATATCCACATGTCTACTCTACTTTTATAATTTTCTAATCATAAATCTAGTCGCCAGAAGCAAAATGCTAATGTTATGCTATAAACGAACTACAGCAGGGTCGCTGCTTCAACGTCACGCCAACTTAAGATCCATATTCAAACATACAGATTCTAAATGGTACAAGTTGAAGCGTTTGTTTGAACAGTTTGCAGGAGGCAGGTACTTGCTTTCAAGCAGAACAGGGCAAACAAACTTAGCGGGAGTGTTTTACGTGTTCGGTGTAATGACGTAAAACGGCCTGGACAACTTCTGTAGTCCTATTCAGCCACATGTTAACAACCATCGTTTTTCAGACACGGTTTTAGGACGCGTCACTGCGGTTCTCTATGGGGCTCATTTACTGGTGCTTCCACAAACAACAACCAACATAATTATTACATTCAAATGAAGTACATTATTCAAGTTTACATTAACTTTGGATAATAACACGGGAGAAATGAGCGGAAGCGCTCTCTTTTCCTCTCTCCCCCTCTCTCCCTCTCCTGACAGCCTGTCAGTATCGTCTCATGCAGCTCACTGATCCAGTAATGAGTGACCCGACAGTGAAGAATAAATATATTTATAACTAGTTTAGTTTGTTCCAGAGGTAGATAAAATAGCTAAGTGTGTTAGGTCTAACTCTTAGTGTGTGTTTTGTTCCGCTCACCGGTCCGTCACAGCGGGTGGAGCTGCAGGATTTCTGCTTCACACACGTTGCATTCCGCAATTTTATTGTCTTTTTCGGACACCTTAAAATACTGCTAGACTGGTGAAGCCATTTTGGCGAGCTTGTTTTGCCGCGCACAGAGAAAAGTGTCATGTATTTTACGTCATCATTTTACGTCATAATTTTACGTCATGCTAGAGCACCGATCGATCGGCAGAGAGTGAGTATCGGCCGATATCGATCGGCGGCCGATCGATCGGAGCATCCCTATACATACAGTAATTGTCAAACAGTAGGGATTCCTGATGGCAGACAATATGGCTCGTTCATTGCATACTAGTTGCATCATTGATGTAAGTGAAGGTAAAATTGACTGATTTCCCTTTAGGGAATGCTAGTGATTCCAAAATGACAGAATCCACAAAAGATATATCTAAAGGTGAATTACAGGTTTGTGTGCATGTAAAGGGTCTACAAAGGCTAAAATCCCAAAGGTCCCCCGAGGGAGTTTCTCCCCACGCACTCCCCCCCCGTGCCTGAAACACCTCGATTGGACTAATTTGTTTACTTCGGTAACATAGTGACATCACTAGTAACACTTGTGCTTCTATTGGCTATCGCTCCAACACATTGTACGTGATATGCTATGTGACATTTCCGACACATGTCTAAGTGGTTGACCAATCATAACACAGGTGTTCAGCTAACCAATCAGAGCAGACTGGGCTCCGGTTTCAGACAGAGGGTGAAAAGAGGTGCTGCGGAGTGGGTAGATAAGACAACAGGATTTGTATCAGGATTCTAAAAGAAAAACAGATTTCTATGTTGTGAGATGAGATAAGTGAGGGATAATGAAGTTGTTATTATTGCGAGCAGGACGCGTCTTGAATCATTTGGCTGTAGATTATCAAGTTTATATCAAGCCTATCTTAAAGAAATCAACAATTTATTACACAATTTAAAATTATTTTAATGATTTTGCTTGAAAAATATGGGTTAAGAGGGCAAACTGTGTCCAAAGCAACAGTCTGCTATAAAAAAAATATATAATCTGTAGGATGTTGAAAATGACCAATTAGAAGTGAGTATTCAGCAAAGCTGTGTAAAAAGTGAACAACCATTACTCCAGACTGTGCGGTGTAATTAATCTACTGCACCAGTGTGCCTTAGTGCCTTCACAGCAGATGATGAAATACTGATTGTTCCTCTTGGATTCGTGACCTAATAAATCCATATCATACAATATCATCATGTCATATGTCAGGATGGTATTTGATAACGTGTGCTCGCTCTATTCGTCAGAATGTGCCAGCCTGAAATATCTCCCCGAGTCAAACTTAGCATTTACCCTTCCCCAAGATATATTTCTGTTATCTGCTTTAGAAATTGATCGTATAAACACACACATACACACGCACCACAAAATATTATTCATCCTCCGTGATGAGAGCCACCAAGCGTTCCATCAGCAGTGAAAGTAGCAGACTGTCAGGCAGCCATCATCTTTCTGTCTGTGAAGTTTTCCTAAATCAAGATTGATTTGCACCTTTGAGCTTTGCCTTTCATTATGGAAATAGTCTCACATGGGAAGTTTGGATAATGATCTCCATGCTAAAGTATGTGACTCAAACCTACTGTACAGTGATGAAAGAAGCATGAAAGAAGCATGAATTCTGCGCAATAGTCTTTCAAGTGTAAAGGTAGAACAAAAAATGGTAATTTAATCAAATTATACTTTTGTGTTTTTGCTTTATTGTTTTCTTAACTGCTCCCATAGGAGAGTCAAATAAGTGTCACCTCAGGACAAAGTAGGCAGATTTCTAACAGACAAACACAGTGAGACACTTCTTTGTAGGCATATTTTAATGCATCATTCTTGGCTGGAGGCTCCATTTGACACGATCTTTTCATCGTTTTCCAGCTGCATTATATGAAAGATGTTACAGAGCTTCTCTCTAAAGGAATGTCAGTTCTGAGAAGCTGGTGATGCTGCGGGAAAGATATGACAGCCTCTTTTAGTCATTTCCTGGGATTCAGCAGAGATCAGAGGCAACAAAGAATGGTGTTACTGTCTTGTTACAAATAGATTTTTTTACCTCAACTCCAGGTCAGCAGACTGCTGCCATAAAAGTGCAGCTCTGTTTTACTTTCAGTTGTAATAGTCAGAGCCTTGTCAGATAGGAAGCTACGATATTAATTAATTGACCGTCTGCAGAAGAAAGACCACTTTGTAATTTATCCTATTTCAACACATAACAAACCACTTTGATGTGTGCCAAAATGGCAGAATGGAGGAAATATGCAAGTGTTTTATAATTCTCACTGCATTCTCACCAAGAAATCAGATTGTGCTATTGTTCTGAGTCTTTGCTCCACAGCAGTGTTCAGAAATGCCCTCTGCTGCAGGTTTGTGAACAGGTTGCATGCACAGACGGGCTGCCAGTTCTTGCAACTGACTTGTTGTGTGAGACAAAGTGTGAAGTAATAAGCTGTGACCAGAATCCTGCTCGGACTGGTAAATCACTCCAATCGCACTGAGAAGAGAAGTGGCCGAGGGGAACAGGGAAAGAGAGGTGAGGGCAGCAGCGGGTTAACAGATGAAAGCCGAGGGTTCTTTCTTCTTCTGCTTTTATAATTTTTTTCGTTTTATTGTCCTCTGGTTTATACACTTCCCTCTTCATCTGTGCAGCTGATCTCTTCTATTTCACAATCTCACACTCGTCTCATCGCCTTCAACCTAGCTGGTGTGAGGGCAAAATCTGCCGGCAAGCTTAACACAAAGGACAGGAAGTATTTGTATTACTCCTGAGTTAAGAAATAATATCAGGACAGTGGCGCAATAATAGCGCCCTTCTCGTTGTAGTAAGAGTTGAATGATCCTCTTCGATGGGATGAGTCAATTGTCTTGCAGACATTTCCTCTGCTCTTGTTGCTTAAATGAGAAACTAAGGTCAAAGTTGCAATAACCTCTCTTTCTCTCTCCCTCCTCCCACCACTCTATCCTCTCTGACTCACAGGAAACAAGATGGAAGGATTCCTCGTATCTCTGATGAAGTAGAGCCCTCACTAGCACACTCCGAACCTCCATTTCCTCTTCCCTCACTTTCAAAGGTAACACAAGACTTTGACCTATTGCTGTTCTCTCCTCCATGTTAGTCGCACAGTTGCTGGAATCAGAAATAGAGACACGGCCAACAATCTGATCTGATAAATGTGAAACCAAGGATTTAAACATTTGAGAAAAAAAGAAAAAAGTGAACTTGTGTCACTTCAAACCAGTAAAAACACAGGTGTACGTAAACAGTCCTACAGTAGGTGCACACTTTTAAACAGGCTGCTGTCCTCATTCTACCTGTTCATACCGACTTTATTTTTTTAGGAGAGATAATGAAGAAGGCAAAAATGGATATCAGCTATTCATTGTGAACCCCGCTACATTTTTAATCCAAAGGATTTAAGATAGTCTGTTTGTAATTGTCTTTGTATAAGATATATTTGAGCAAATATTGCCTGTCTTTCTAAAACCGCATGTAGCTTATCCCAAACAATTGTTGTCCATGGTTCACAGGATGAAAAAACATGACACATTTCAATGTATGATTTTGTTGTGAATATTGTCTGACTAACCTGTTAAAGAGATTGGAAATGTCAGTATTTGCCATTATTAATAGTATAAGTCCAATATAATAGAGAGTATACTATCATACTATGTAGTATTCAATTTTTGAGTATGTCAAATGCAGTATGCCAAAAATACCAGGATGTCCTTCTGCATCGGATAATTTGGCTTTATGCAAGCCACTATGCTTTTCTGACTATTCTGACCCACAATCCTTTGCAATATATGTGAGCAAGAGGGTAAAGGTTCAAGGTTCATGCAGGTCTATACTTTTTAGGGGCATGTGCATCACACAAAAAAGAAAGTAAGAACACATCAAGAGTTAATATCTGCAATGGCATCTTGTCACCAGTCAATCCTGACCTTCAATGCATCTGTTCATTTTAATTCCCTCCTGGTTTCCTCCCTCGTTTTTGCTCATCATATCCTTCAGCTGTTACACCAGGTGAAAGGTGGCTCTAATTTCCCCTACCTCTGGTGGCTGTTGGCAGCTTGTTGTGGTGCCTGACAGAAGAGTGTGTGCCCTCTGTCACAGGCTTCTGGGACAGATATAGATATGCAGCAGTTGTTCCTCTCTGATACATACCATAGGCACTTTGGTATTATTTTTGTCACACATGCAGTGGAAATACAACTTCTAAAAGGCTGATAACATGATGTAATACATGCGCAGAAATACCTGCAGGGTTTTGTTGATTTAGTTTGTTCTATCTTGTATGTAAAAGTGTTCACATCTAGATGTTTTGTCATGTCAAATTGTAAACCTAATGACTTTATCTGTTAAAATGGTTTGGGTGTGTCTGTCGTGGCAAGAATGTTTAAACTCAACAGTTTATGAAGTTATAGGTTGCACACTCTAGAGCTTAAACAAGACTGCAACACTAAGTCATTGTATTGCTATCAGTGGTTGAAGTTAAAAGCTTTTTTACTTAGACATACATGTAAGGGTTTATGACTAAAGCAGAGCTGATAAGGAAGTCACAAAGAATGGAGAAGAGAAATGCAGAAAATACTTTAGATAAGGTTTATTATACTAAATTTGACCTTATAAAAGGTGCTTCAATTGTCCTTTTGTACATGTACAGTACTAATGTTGGTGTATTAATTGCAGTAGAGACTTTGAGCATAGATGTACTATCTGTGTGGAATTGTAAATGTTTACTTGGAAGTCACACAACTCACTTTAGTGTGTTCATAGAAATGTGATCAGCGCTGTTGACCCAAAGGTTTTTGTGATCCTCAAGTCTGATTTCATTACACAAGTCCCTTCACTTTTTAAGGTATTGTTGTCTTTATATAAAAGAGAACAGTGTAGACATGTGAGGGGGAGAGAGAAGGGTATGGCTTTCAACATAGCCAACAAAGCTTCCAAGGCAGGAATCAAACTCAGAATATTGCAGTTACAGGGCACACGCTGAAACCACTTGGCTAGCAAAGCTCTAGCTTTCTCAAGGTCCCTAATTCATCCACTCATGCTCATAACGATTCATACAGTGTTTTATTTCTCAGAAATATTCCTGCATTCAGTTTGTCTTGAAGGGGTAACTCTGTCAATTTCACACATCAAAGTCTGTTTATAGGTCTTGCGAGAACTATTGAATAATTTATTTTGAAAAAGGTTGAAAAGAGAGCGAGATGTGCTTAGTCTGATGAATTGCCCCAAGTGATATTACTTGGCTAAAAACTAAAGTATTGACACATTTAAGAAAGGGTTTTGTTAGAAAGAAGTGGATTTACCAAACCTGTTGCTCACTTGAGGCTACGTTAGCCGCTACTAGCATAACACCCAAATCTTTAAATTAACTTTTGGTGGTTGAGTGGTACTTTTGGTTGAATAGGAGACAGGTTATGACAACTTAAAATAATGCTTGTAATAAAGAAAGCTGATAAAACATCCTACCTTTTGGTAAAACTGTCGATATGAGTCCAAAATGGTTATATTGCAATGCTAACCTACCCACACTGACACAGTTAGCAGTGGTAGCAGGGTAACTAATAGATTCAGCATCTCTGAACTTTTAGTTCAAGGTTATTGCATTCTTGAAGTCCTTGTGATAAGGCATTTAGTTATAATAATGCATTACACATACAAATGCCCAGAGGATATTAATACAAATGCAAGAGATGTGTTATGTTATCGGGAGTGTTACAGTACAGTGCCTCTTTGTCTGAACTGTTTTCTCCTGAGTGAAGAGGGTAGGAGATCTGCTTCAGCATACAGAGAAGTCAGCAGCAGTTCTGTTGACTTTAACCTCTGTGGCAATCAACCAGCTCTTCTGAGGCAGTGGGGTGGTGGAGGGCCTCGATCTGAGTAAAGTACGTTTGTGTCCCCCAGGCCTGAGTCGCCACAGGGAGGCGGGGGCTAATCTCTGGAGTCAGACCTGATGAATGGACCCTGATGGATTTTCTCTGGCCAAAGCTCCTGTGCCCATTGATTGACTCTCTTTGAAGTTTATTTTTCAATGTCTCTGTATTGCCTTTGAGGATGCAGCTAACCCAAAAAGCATGGAGGAATGGGGAGTAGGGATATGCTTTGGATGAAAATGATTGGCAAATTGACAGTGGAAATTCAAATGAGCCTCTGGAGTTAATGAAGTATTGAAGCTTTACTTCCCAGCTTGTAGATGGAGTTATGATCTGTATGCTTCATGGATTTGATGTTCCTCATATATTTCACTCACATACTGTATTTTGACATGTTCCGTTATGGCTATCAATGAATCAGGTGATCAGTCAATCACTTACTCCCTCATTCCCAATACAATCTTTCTTAGACACACAGCTAAATTGATGGTAATCTACTCAGAGAATAATGTGCATCTCTTAACCCCTCATGCATTTTAACAGTGATGGTGAAACTACGGCAGGCATATTGTCTCTGAAGTCAGGAGATCAAAGTGAGTGGCTTAAAGATTGAAGGGAAGTCCGGAGAATACATTTACAAGTCAAATCTGTGATTTCTTGCACTTGTTCAGTGCTGATATCGGACTTCTGTACATATTGTTCCATCAGATCACACACCATACTGTAGTCACCAGAACCAGGCAGGACTGTGCAACAGTGGGTTGACTTTCCTAACAGCTTGAGCAGAAATGTCGCACTCACAAACGCAGCTTCGCAATCAGTATGCTTTGTGACTGAAACAATGTCAGGGCTCACTGTGTGAATCTGAATAGTAATTAATATCTCCCTCTTATTTGCAATTATGTAACTATTATGCATGATTATCAGGCAAGTTGGTAATTAGTATTCAGCTTCTAGGTTGGCATTCAGCTCAAGCCTGTCTAGACCTGAAGAAACTGATCACCATAATGAAGTGCAACCTCAGGACGAGACCTTGTTTTAAAGATGGGGCCATTATGATGCAGTAACACAAAACTAAAAGTTACCTTTGTCCATTTCAAAATCTGGATTTTGTGCACTTTAATTTAAACCTTCTTGTGTGTACTGCCTATCGACTTCCCTAGAGGGAAATCAATGCAGACAGCTGACAGTGTATATCTTCTACTGCAACGCTTCACATATATAGGGAGAATCTGTCGTTTCTTGTAAGCTTTCAGCAGTCATTTTATTTATTTATTTATTTTTCTACAGTTAAGTAGGTCAGTGTTTGTTGATATTTAATGTTGGACTGCGCCTGATGGAGAAAGCTGCTCAGAAAAGAGATTTCACAGGAGGACAACAGCCCTCTTTCGACCCACAGAAATCCCCACATCTTTTTATCTCTCTTTTCCTCATCTGTATGCCACTATCTACTATCCTGTCATGTTTGTGCTTAACTGTGCACAGATGATTGTGGAAGTGCTGAGGAGGGCTAAGTTTTCCCTTCAGGCTGTGACATCTACACATGCAGGGATCTGGGCTGGTTGCCTGTCTCACATATATTCCTTGGAGCGACTGATAACACATTTGTTGCTTTCTTATCAAGGACATGATGCAGTGAAAGTGCCCAAGATATTCCCCTGAGTGCACCACTCATTTAACAAGGTCCTATTCTGCTCATGTTCATGGTCATATTAGTATTTTTACTAGCCAATAGAAGCGCAACTGTTACATAGTGATATCACATATTTGAAGTAAACAAAGGAGTCCAATGGAGGCATTTCAGGCAGGGTGTGTGGGAGAGAAACTCCCTCTAGGGGGAATTGTAGACTTTGCCAACAATTTACCTGCACAAAAACCTATATAACACACATTACAGGGAAGGCGAACCCCCAACAAACATAACAGGGCCCCTTTAACTTCTCGTATTCATTTATGGTGGACACCTCATGCAATTAAGCATTGATTGTAAAAAAAACGAAAAAAAACCTACTCAGTTGTACAAGTTGTACAAAATAGTAGCCAATAATCATAACCTTTCACTCTATGAGAGCACTTAAGGCATAATTAACCTACTTCTAAACATGTGCTGTATTGTAAATGTATGGAAACATCTAGGTTTGCCCTTCATTGCTTTAAAATAAATGCCTACACAGATCTGTTCTCAAGGTTATATGGAGCATGTGTTTTCTGGGACCCAGGCTTGAGAAATATGAGGTAAAAGAAAAGAGGAAGAGAAAATTCTCGTATTGTGATTACAAAAAAAGAGAAGCTGTGTTTTGTGACAAAGGGAGTGGAGACACAGTGTCCCTCCCTTCCTCCTACTTCCTACTGAACAGCTGTCTGTGTCCATGGGAGGGTGGGGTGGGCTGGGCTGTGCAAAAAGGGAAGGAAAGGAAATGAAATTCTCACACTACTGCACGCTGTATGCTCCTAACTCACATGCTGAGCTATGATTCATATTGACAGTGATCAAGTCGACTCCTAGTTTATTGCCTGAGCGACAGTGAGTGAGAAGCGTCATTGTCAATCTTACCTTTCTTCTTGTGACTGACGTGACAGCAACACCCTCACTCTTGTCAGCTTGCCTGTATCCAACTATTGGAATGATGACTGATCTCAGGATAGCAAAGAATGTCTTATTGGATGGACTGCCCAACAGTCCCCACAGTAAGCCTTTTCTCAAGAGACGATGCCTCAGTGATGTGAGTATTTTCACTCGCTGGAAGTGAGAGATTCTTCTCGCTCCAGTTATTGTTGCTTGTTTAATTCTTAAGGTAGCTTAGAGGCAATGGAATATGTGTTTGTGGCTGCAGGACAGTGGATATTGGATTTTTGTACATTGCAGAGTCAGACACACGCTCCATTGATCTAGGTTCTGCCTAGATATACTCCATAAAGACAGAATATGCAGTGTTTGTATGGGAGAAGCTGCATACAGCAAATACCTTTGGTTTGCCCGATGACGAATGGAAAATACAGTAAAACAAATCTGTAATAATGATGCTATTCTTATTAGGACATACATCTACATATTTTGAGATTATTGTCATATGCAGAATAGCTACAGTGTACTTTTGGCAATGAAAATATTGAGTCCCAGGCTCCTCCAATAATGTAGCATAAATGAACATAAGACATAAACAATCAAAATAGTGCAAGAACAGAAATAGAAAATAATTTGACCAATGGTCAAGTAGATGCAGAAACAACTAAGCTATATATACATGTAAAATAGAATAAGATTTATAAACACAGAATGTCAAATGAAATCCTACACAAGTAAATAAATATATGAGCTGTAAACAGATGAATGCTTTAAACATATGAAGGTGAAGGCACTCCACAGAGCTCTTTAACAGTGTTTTGGCCTGTAGAATAAAACTGTCCCTGAGTCTGTGGTTAACAATCTGCCTTCATAATCCCGGAAAGCATTGCTTCCCATTCTCTCTGTTACTCTGTGGTTCACTCCTAATTTGGTCATCATAAAACATGATATGTCTCTTTCAGTTTATTTGGCAGTCAGGAGATCAGTATTTACCCTGATATCATGTTGCAGTTTATTTTACCATGCAACAATAGACTCACAGCCACACCTTTAGCAATACTAGGTCACAGTCAGGTGTGTTCTTTTATGGATGGTTATACTGTAGGTGTAGGAACGCCTAAGTGCATGCACGTGTTGAAATGTTTATACGGACATAAAGTACACGCTTTCCCGTGGTTTTGTGTGTATGCATACTGTGCCCTGAATACATGTAAGCTGTCATGTGGAAACATCAGCTGGGCACTTTTGTTACATGGTGAACAGAGGGCTCACACCACCACATGCACTGCTGCCAGGGCTGCTGCAATCCTCTTCATCTCAGGTTGGAGCTGCCTAAAAATCCATAATGTATCCTCTGCCAAAAAGACACACAGTTATTTTCTTACCTCTGCAAAGGAGCAAACACTAAATTATGTTCTGTGGCAGTGCAATTTAAAATGTAGAAGATCAAATCCTCTTTGTCAAATAAGCAGCAGTGCACCACCTGGACACAAAACATTGACATTATACAAGGTTGACATATAACCCAGATGTCAATTTACTTTGATGTCTTGCCTTGTACACTCCGAATCTGCTGGTAGGTCAAATAAGTCTTGTTTACTTATTATTGTGACTGAAAGATCGTAGCGCCTTCAAGCTAATTTGGTGGCTGCATGAAGTCAGATGAGCTGTTGGCTGTGGCAACGGAGAGGCACCGTGGAGCTTTGAAGCTCATTTTCCCCTAAGAGTTACTTGTTTACAGTGAGTTTGTCTTCAAGCACGGAGAAACAATTCTCGTGGAGTTAAATGGATCCTCAGTTAGATTGGTGTTAAGTGGGGTGGGGGATGCGTTAAGCCCCTGTCACACTGTCCCAAAATTGACACCAGATGGACACACGATAAAGGAAATGTTCAAATTCGGCTCTGATCGTAACAACATCGGGCCATTCGTGAGGGCATCTTAAGCCATCGTATGACCGCCGGTGGAGTTTCTCAGGCTCCGGCAGCAACTTCGTGAGCGGTGGCAAAATCATTATGTAAATAACCCAATTTGTGTTCTGTGAAACTGAAAAGGATATTACATTGTTTTTGTTACTTTCGTTGCAGTTGTATGTCTTAAATGTAATTTAGGTTAACTTCCTGTTTTATTTAGATGCTTTTATTTTGAAGGCGAGTTTACGCTGTTGACAGGAAGTTGTTGTTGCTATGGAAACAACATGACGGAGATAAGTAATATCTTCTAATCTACATATAAAGAGGAGAAAGTAAAGAATAAAGTGTATGTTTAAATGTTAGCACCCCCCGAAGAGGCACAAGCTCTTACGTTGAGTCTGGATACATTCTAAATCATCAGTAAAGTCTACGACCATATTTTCGTGTGTGGTTCGGGTGCCATCGTGTGGCCTTCTGTAGGCATCGCACTTGCTTCGGCTGTTGCTTGGCTGTTGACCAAGTTCGGGGCCATCTTCGTGCGAAATTCACAATTCCATATTTGTGTGTCCATCTGGTGTCAATTTCAGGACAGTGTGACAGGGGCTTTAAGGACTGTCTCTCAATGTGAAATTGGGAATTAGGGGGCGTCAAACATTCCAACAGGATGTCTTGTGTCTTGCCAGCTTTTGCAGTGAGCAAATACTTCAAAGAAAAGCTTATCAACACAACTTTCATACCCATGTCCCTTTTTGGATCTGTGTCAACTCTCTTCCCCAGACCTCGGACCTGTTTGCCATGATCGAGAGGATGCAGGTATTGTAAGGAACCTTGGCTCCGCCTTCTGTACTTGCTGCCTAAATTGGCAGTTCTTCCAAACTCTAATCAAAGGGCAGAATTTCTCTCGCTTTGAAAAATACATTTCCCATGAACTTCTATTTCGAGACTCCATTTCATGCTTTCCCTGCAATTTTTGCATTCCAGTCCACAACCCTGCTTCTGCAACACTTAAATGTGTGTGTCCTGAATTCTTCCCTTTGACATTAATGTATTTTTTTTTTTTATTTGTAGCGATGAAAGCCCTAGGCGGTCTTTAGAAACATGATGCTTATTAACTGCTGAACAGAGCCTTTGTGTTATCTCTTCACAGTTTTGTGGTTTTGTCTGCGTCACTAGATGTATGAAATGTTGTTAGAGATTTCAAGGAATGTAGTTTGTTTTGTACCCCGTGATTTTTCAATCCATTGAGAGTTACACAAACCAGACTCAACAATCTGAATGTGCTTTGATATGGTATCATTAATGTTTAAGGCTTCAACACATTTGTATTCCTTTTCATTTGGAATTACTTGGTCTGTAGATTTACAAACCAGAGTTGTTTATACAATAACATATCTTCTTAGTTGTCTATCACTTAATGGAAATGAACTCGAGACTTAAGCAATACTGTTTCAGGGTCAAATCAACATGATCCGGAAACACTTTTTAAAGGGGACCTAATATGCTAATTGGGAGTGTGTGGGAGAGAAATTCCTTTTGGAACTTTAGGATTTTAGCCTTTACAGACCATTTACATGCACACAAATCTATATAACCCACTACAGGAAAGGGAAAACCCCAACAAGCATTATAGGGCCCCTTTAAATCCGAATTGTATTCTAAGTTAAAGGTGGAAAAGAAAAATGTTGAAAGACACAAAGCATGATTAGGGATAAGAATATGTAAAACATAATTTTTTTTACATGGCGCATCTTTCTGAAGCGCTTCTGCTGGAAGAGGAATCACAGGCATAGAAGGCGTTATGTCTAGGCGTGAATATGTGTTACTAATGCATTAATTTTAATTATAATGCCTCAAGTGTTTCTGAGCTACTCTGTGATTGTTGGGTGGGATGTTTATTTAGTTGACTTTGTTTCTTAAGCGCATGAGCAGCACTACTGAGCTGCAGACAACAGTGGCATATTTCATTATTAGTAAGGCACTTCCTCCAACATGTAAAGGGAATAAGGGAGGAAAAGAGAGCAGTGGAAGACTCTTCAAAGAATAGATTTAATGAAAGCATTTCAAAATTCCATTTGATTCATCTTCCTTGGTACTAAAAAGGGTACATTAAATGTGATACGACTCAAATCTTGCTCCAGGGTATTCCACACAAAGAGGCCACTGATCAGGAATGCTTTGTTCCTCGTCTCTCTCTGTGCTTTGGGAACTGTCAGTAGTTGTGAATCAACAGAAAAAGCACAGATAGAGTAGATAAAAAGCGCTGTTTTGGCATTTTTTTGGCTGTTAAGTGGAATTGCAGTTAATGATATCTGCAGTACGTTTTGATGGAAACACATCCCCTGTTCTCATGGACCTCTGCTTATCTTTTTCACTCGCTGTAATCCCCAAGATATAACTTCTATTTACTTCCTCTTTCTGTGGCCCATCTGGTGATCAAGCTTGTGTTGAGTAAACATGAATTATTGTCACAAAGACTTATCTCTCTCTCGGCTCCTGCAAGAACCAATCAAACATGTTCTGTGTAAACATCTCTTTGTTTAACTATATGTGGATTTTCTTGCGGGTATATCACAGTTTCCCTCAATATCCTATCATTTTTCTCTCTACAGGGTTGCAGAATGGATGAGCAAAGATGCCCCCTGCCTCCCCCCCTCAAAGTGAGTCACAAATCCTCATAACTCCTCATAGGCCTCAGTTTGGTAAAGCATCCGTAATGGTAGAGTTATAAACCTTTCCTTATCAGCTGTCAGACAGGCTTTAGGATGCTCACCGTCTGAGTTAGGAACTCAACGGGACTAGGACTGTAAAGTCCTAAACTGTCCTAATAAGCAGGCAGGAGAATGCAGTTGGCAGTGAATACTGGGAGGTACTCTTAGCATGATACCCGAGGTCAAGTCAGAAAGGGCAAACAATCGATAAGAATCATCTAAAATAAGAAAATATAAACATTTATTGCTCGGAACTGACAACAATAAAGTATCTTGGTGAAAGTTTGGCTGCTTTGTGATATGTTTAATGTAGTTTTGGAGTCTATTATGCTTATATACTGGATCAAATTTGGATTTTGTGCTTCTAATGTGTCATGTTTACATGCTTTAATGTTCAAAAACTGCTTTATTTTTCTCAACCCTCACCCTCACCTGAAACCAGAGCACAGTCTGCTGTAATTGGTTAGCTGGCCCGCTTTGTTGTGATTGGTCAAACCGCTCACAGATGTCCCGCCCCTAAGCCTATCACGTACAATGTGTTTGAGTGCTAGCCAGTAGAAGTACAATTGTTATGCAGTGATGTTACTAGTAGTCATGTTGCGTAACTAAACAGAGAACTACAATTGTGGTGTTTCATGCACAGGGGAGTGTGTGGGAGAGAAACTCCCTCTTGGGGGAGCTTTGGGATTTTAGCCTTTGCAGACCATTTACATGCAAAAAAACAAAAAAACAACACACTTCACGAAAGAGAAAACCCCAATAAGCATAAAAGGGCCTATTTAAAGGCTCTTATGAAGAAAATTCTACAGTTCGGTTGGCATCAACAATTTTTGCAAAATGCCACTCAACAAATTAGCTATACATGATGCACACTATATGACCGAAGTTTACAGACATACAATAGCATGCCCATGTGTGGTTGTTGAAAATCTCAATCCAAAACCATGGGCATTAATAGGCTTCCACTCTTCTGAAAAGGCTCTCCACAAAATGTTTGAGTCTAACTTTAAGGGATTTGTTTCCTTCAGCCACAAAGAGCATTAGTGAGGTTGGGCTCTGAAAGCGGGAGATAAGGCTCGGCTCTCAGTCAGCTTTACTTTATCCCAAAGGTGTTGGATGAGGTTGATGTCAGGATTGTGTGCAGATAACTATTTATTTATGCACCTGGCTTTGTGCAGAGGGGTAATGTCACGTGGAATCAGAAAAGGACTGACTCAAAGCTGTTGCCACAAAGTTGGAAGAAGGGCTTATCATTAAAAACCAAATGTATTCAAACAACGTGGAAAGACACATACTTTTGGGATATACTTTAGTGTAATATGGCAAATGTCTGGGTCAGTTTTGTTGTAAGGAGGGTATATTTATTTATCCAATTTAACACCACTAAAACACCTCACTTTTCTTTTTGTGATATCAAGAAGTTGTCATTATTTATTTTAATCACAATCAGAACTCTTTTACTCGTTCTTCAGGAAAGGATTACAGCAAAAGTGACCTTTCAGATCAAAGGCAGAAATAAAAAAGAGTAGACTTAACATGTAGAATATAGAGCCGCGCATGTGTAAATAAAATAAAGAGAAAATAGTACATTCCCATGGTAAAGAATTAGCAGCAGCATTTTAGAAAGGTAGGTGAACATATATAAAGGTGTGAATTTCAAGAATTACTGCGCAATTGCTGAAATACTGTCGCAGCCAGAATAACAATAATACACTTCAAAAGAGAGTATATTGCACATAGCAGGGTTATTTCACACTATGTAAACAGTCTGTCTGCCTGACTTTTCCTCCTGTATCACCTCCATAGCAGCTACAATTGACGAAAGGCAATTTCATAAGAAAGGTTATATTTCCTGCATAGGACTGTTTACTTTGTTGACAATTAGAGCCGGCCGGCAAAATAAATCTATAACTTGTAATGGAACAAGTCCAGGCATGGTCTGCTGAGGTTGTTGAAAAGCTTTCTTGGGCAATGGACACAATCACTTTCTAAAATTGAAGCAAAGTGTGTTTTCCCAAGAAGTAAATTGAAACATGTCTCAAAATGTTTTCGGCAACACACATAACAGAGTAATGCCCAAATAACTGAATACCACTACCAGACGGTACAGTAAGGAATAAAAGGTTAGAATGTATCCTTTTTCAAGTCAATTACGGTCAAATGTTAGCAACTCCAGAGGTTATAACGTATTTCAACGTTTACCAAATGACGTGTTTAAAGAGTTCCAATAGTTACATTACAACAACGAGAGAAGTGAGTCTAGTTTAAAGCTTCTTACGACACTACTTGATAGTAAAAAAAATGGCAATGTATTCACTGGAGAGAAAAATAATAAGACATTTGCAAGATAGCCTTGTAATGTGGATTCTGCCATGTTTGTGGTGTAAGAGAAATGCTTGTGCTTTAGTTGATATTCTGTCACAGCGTGATCATTATTTTCCCAAAAGACCCAAATCTGAAAGTATGACTAGGAGCGTCTGTTTGTCAGCTTGACTGATTTTCTTTTCACTCCCTGCAGACAGAAGAGGACTACATCCCTTATCCCAGCGTTCACGAGGTATATGCTTTCCACATAAATAACTCACACAACACGCTACACATTTGAAAGATGTCAGCACTGTTAAGCTAAACAAATGACACCTGTGTTGGTTGTCCATCATTGTCAGGTTCTAGGTCGCACTAGTCCTTTTCCACTCATCCTGCTGCCCCAATTTGGAGGCTACTGGATCGAGGGGACCAATCATGAGCCTAAAGAACCCCCAGAGGCTGATCAACCCCCCGGCCCTACCTCCCAAATCAAACTGGAGACTAACAGCACCGCCAAAATCTACAGGAAGCAATTCATGGGCAAGGTGAGGATGGGGGGAAACAAAGAGTCTGGTGTTATGGATTTAAAAATGTTCAATCTTGTTTATTAAATCTCAAACAACATCTTATAACATACAATTGGATTTAATTTGCTCACGTCAAATTCGTGAACTATGCTGATTTTAGATTCATAAAACAAGACAAACTGTCTCTGAGATCATTTTTAAATAAATCAGTTATTCAACTGCCAAAGTTCAGCTAATTTTTGTTTAGGTTTATTTCCTAAAATAGGATTATAGGATTTTAGGATCTTGTCAAGTGGAAATTGAAGTGTGTGTGTGTGTGGGCTGTCTTTGATTTTAAAGGAGATGTTATGGCACATGGAGCACGTTTTGGCCTTGCAAAGAGATTAGGAAAAAAAGCAGTTGCCACTCTGCGTTCCCCTTGAACACCTTTTACATTTGTCAATACTGCTGTGCTATCAGTATTCTCTCCATAGGCAAAGACGTGCATGCACTTGTACATACATTTGAGAAAAAACAAACGTATATATTTGCCTTTTTTTTGCAATGTGAACCTAAGCAGTTGTACCTTGTTTCACAACCTTTTCCGAAAGGTACTACTTTTCCAAATTAAAAGACTGTTACTTCCTCTACCCCTCTCCATTTCTAATTTATTATAGCATTGTTTTTTTAATTGTCAGTTGCTGAAGGAGTATTCATCCTTGCATTTAAATTAATTCTGCTTATCTGCCCCCAGGAACACTTTAATTATTACACCATGGATGCTGCCCTGGGCCACTTGGTCTTTTCCATGAAATATGATGTCATTGGGGATCAGGAGCATCTGCGCTTAATGCTTCGGTACAAATTCCTATTATCTTTTTCCCTGACCTGTTTTCTCTATTTATGCTTATTTTCTCTCGCTAGTTCCTTCCTTATCATAATACCTTACTTTGCAATATCTCTGCCTTCTTTATTTTCCCTCCATGACCGTTTTCTTACAACCCTGGCTTCAAATATCCATGTAATGCAGTGATTTGTGGCATTTACTCCCAAGCCGTCCTATTCCATATAGAGCATTTCACACATGACAGTTTCAGATGGATTTTTCTTTTTCTTTCTTGCTCAAGAATAGTGTTAAGTCAAACAAAAATGACACAGAGGGAAAAGAGCATCCTCAATTTCCACTGAATTTAAAAATGTATTTTTCTGCTTGATTGCTGACAAAAATAAGTGTTTGCACCACCAGAAATAAAAATGTTCGTCATTTTTATCTAAAATAACGTATCATTTCTGCAACTTGTGCTCACTTTAATTCGAAAAGTGACTACCCCTCATTCACAGCATTTTGTGTTTTAATAAATATACAATCTTCATCTCAGGAAGGGCTTCAACAACTGGTTTTACTTTTAAGTCACAGTCAGGTGAAAAAGTAACCTTTTTAACTCAACTAATACTGCTTCTCCAACCCAGTCTCACGGCATTTCGTGTTATAGTCACGAAATTAATTTAATCTATTGATTCGTGTTCACCAACACGATTTTCGCATTTTTTTCGTGTCACACAGAACGATTTTAAAAGCAATGTATTTCTTTTGGTAGTATGTTTCGTGCCTGCAACACGTCTTTTTGTCCGGTCGGGTCTTGGAATACCAGAAGCTGTGTGGTTCATAAAAACATGTTCTTACTCAATATCTTACCCTAAGCCTAACCCTATCCCTTTTATTTTAAATTGTATAATGTGGGAGTTTTTTTGCCGTCCACGAGGAAAAGAAATGGGGCTCAGAGCCTCAGAATACTGAGATCTGTATTTTTTGTCATCTTTTTTTCCTTCTAATTTGTTATTATTTGGTGCAGGCACGAAACATACTACCAATAGAAATACATTGCCTCTAAAATTGTTCTGTGTCAGAATATTGAAATCTGTATTTTTTTAAATCTGTTTTTCCTTCTAATTTGTTATTATTTACATTGCTTTTAAAATCGTTCTGTGTGACACGAAAAAAATGGCGAAATCGTGTTGGTGAACACGAATCAATAGATTAATTTCGTGACTATAACACGAAATGCCGTGAGACTGTGTTGGCTTCTCGTGACATTCAGCTATATAACAAGACATTTAGAAACACAACAAAATGCATGCCAGGGTTCAATACATATTTGTGTATGTTCTGGTAGTAGTGTAATATTGTGAGTATAAAAATAACTGTTAAAATATTTCTGTGGTACAGCACAACACTGAACCTTTCTGTATAAATTACTTTAAAATCTGTGCCACCAAGTACTCTACAATCAGCACACTATTCATCTATGTTGCACAAGAGTAGCAGCTCCCACTTACTCACCCACAAAATCCTGCTTCACATTCTGCTATAGACAGACAAGGGGGAGTGAGGCGCAACTCAGCGCACCATATAACCTGTGAATTAATTTTAGCACCAAAGAGTCTCCACTCCAGATTTTAATAGCTGCATTCCGTCTTTGTTAATGGAGCTTTAGAGTGGATGAGCATGTTGCCAGGTAACACTCAGCCCACAACATTTTTCACATAGTGATGTTTTCCACCGGGTGGGCAACACCCACAGTCACCCCAATCACCTTCAGCTGGTGTATTCAAAGGCACTGACTCACAGTCCAAATCGTAAAGCATCTTTAGAAGATCTACATTATGAGTCATAAGTCTTGTTTATACACTGTAACACACCAAGGTATATTTTTTAGCATAGAGAATGATTAATATTGTTAGGACGTTCAGCAAGCCCCACTCTTCTTAGCCTGTAGTCTACAATGATAACTTTGGCAGAATAACAATCAAAAATCTTAATAAAAATGGCACCTTGATTCCAGATAAAGGCACAACGTTTCTTTTAGCTAGCCGATTAAGCTAACGTTAGCACCACAAGTTGGTTGAAAATGCTAACTGTTTACTGTGTACAGCCAACTCATTTTAAAGCAAGGAACTTCTAAAAAGAGTTCTTGAATATGCACTTCAGGACTTCATAGAAACAATGTCAGTATCCTCACTAGTTTTGGTAAATAATAAATTAGCATTGTTGACTAGCTACCACGTAGTGAGGAAATTGTCAACGATACAGTGGATGTCCTTGTTGAGTTAATTCAGTTTTTAAGTAGCCTAACTTGTATCCCAACAACTTATTTCATAATTAGTTTCAGTACTCAATGGCAAGGTTTTTGTGGTACTGTTTAATGTACCTGTCCAACCCAGTCTCACGGCATTTCGTGTTATTAGTCACGAAATTAATTGAATCTATTGATTCGTGTTCACCAACACGTAAAAAAACATTATGCTCCCAGCTCCATACAAAATCTATAGGAAAGGTCCCCTTTGAACTGGTATTAATTAGCATGATTGCTCAACATCAAAGAAAGAAAACATTAAAGCAGGAGGATTGCTTTGGATTAGTTAAACCAAACAGTGAGTATTTTGACTTTTCAAGCTGTTTGCCTTTCAGCACAAAGATAAAAACCTACCATGATGTGATTCCAATTTCCTGCCTCACCGAGTTCCCCAATGTGGTTCAGATGGCCAAGGTAAGCAGTTGTTATCACACAGAATACAAAGTCACAAACTGTATTTCAGTGCATTTTCATTCTGTCATTTTCATTTTTTGGGTTAACAGCTTGTTTGTGAAGAAGTAAACGTGGATAGGTTTTATCCTGTCCTCTACCCAAAGGTAGGCATTTCAAAAAGAAAAGTATCTCTTGCTATCAACCAACATGACACGTCCATCTCATGAAGCTGACTGGATACTTGCTGCTCTCTCGTCCTCAGGCATCAAGGCTCATTGTCACCTTTGATGAGCATGTGATCAGCAACAACTTCAAGTTTGGTGTTATTTATCAAAAGTTTGGCCAGGTGAGTGAGCTTCAGAGATACCACTGCTAATCTTTGCTTTTGTAGTATGTGTCACTCCTCCTGAAAATGTCCTTTTCTTCAGACAACAGAAGAGGAGCTGTTTGGGAACATGGAAGAAAGTCCCTCCTTTGTGGAGTTCTTGGAGTTTCTGGGCCACAAGGTTGAACTTCATGACTTTAAAGGGTTTGGACACTTTTAAGATCAATTTATTTGAGTGTTTCTCTGCAGCAGATTTAAATGATGTTGCTTAATTCTTAGTATAGCTCTTCACCTCATGTCTGCCAGAAGCAGGCCATCATTCACTTTGCTATATTGATCAGAGTTGGCTTCAAATAAATCCCTGAAAAAGCACTTTAGAGTGTCTTGATATTTGCAGTGTTGCTGACATTGTGATTGAGTAGGCAGAAGAAGTGCCCTTGGCATTCCCTCAATGATGGATGAGGGTGGATCGGCTGGGTCCTCAGAGAGCATGCTCTTGTGTTCCACTCCTTACACAGCTTTGTTCGTCTCTTTTCCATCTTCTCTCTTTTCATCTCAGCCCTCTCTTTGACGTCACTGATTATAGTCTTCTCTTCTCCTCCATTGTATACTCTCTTCTTTTTCTTGCTTCTTCTTTGCTTTTTAAACCTCCACCTCGTCTTTTTCTTCTTCAGGTTTCGGGGTGGACTGGATGTCGCTCATGGGCAGACGGGGACCGAATCCGTCTACACAACTTTCCATAATATGGACATAATGTTCCATGTGTCCACCAAGCTGCCTTACACGGAAGGTGACTCACAGCAGGTATGATGACATTCCAATGATTCATTACCAGGGTAACTTATATGTGTATTCTTGGTAGTTTTCATGGCCTTCACTAATTCATTTATAAAGTTCTCCATGTTAATCCTCCACACATCAGATGAGAGCAACAGCTGAAATGTCAAGGCTTTAAACTCTACATTTTATGATGGATTCCTATGAAGCAAGACAAATCATGTGATGCTCAATCTGAACTAATACACCAATAAGCAGGGTTAAAGGAATAGTTTCACTTTCTCACTTTATTGTTGAGTAAGATAAAAAAGATTCCACAATCTTTCTGAAGGAAATAAAAACTCTTACCTCTAATTAACCCTAATCTATTGGTACTAAAACGAAAATGTGAAACATTTTCAAATACAATTCTATCAGCTAAGGTTCATTACTTTTTCTTGGATGACCCCTACCTTCCACAAGTTTCACATTTTAACTTTGTTTTTGTCTAGATTAAATACAAAAATATGTCCATTAGTGCTGGTATGGAAGATTGTGTTTTTGAACTTTGGACAGAGCAAGGCCAGCAGTTTTTCCATTTTCAGGCTCACAGTGAGATTGGTATTGATGTTAACTCTTGGCTACAGCAAGAAAGCAATTTATCTTATATCCTAAAATGTTGAACTATCACTTTAACTAATGAGCATGCATACTTTGAAGGGGCCCTATTATGCCAACTTTAAGGTTCATATTTGTATTGTGTGCCTATACTGTGAAATGTTTACATGCTTTAATGTTCAGAAAGAATATATATAAAAACATTTTAGCCTTTGCAGACCATTCGCATGCACACAAACCCAAATAACACACTACAGCAAAATGAAAACCCCAGAAAAGCACAATAGGACCATTTAAAATATGTTTATTTTCTTCTTTACTTGAGCTTTTCAAGTAAAGTGCATTATTCTAAGCAATCACATTTTCTTAGGTCTGGTGTCCTCACTTGCCGTACTGTTGTCGAGACATTTAATTGTTTTGACAATTTTCCAAAAGCATATGCAATATTCTTACTGGCACGTTTCCCTGCTGTTGGTTTTTGTGGCTAGAGACTTTTATCTCTTTGATGAAATGTTGCAGTAAGTTGCATTAGTCCTCAGCTCTGCACTGCCTCTTTGAGTGGTTTGAACTTTGTCACCACAGTAACCCTGCACAGACTGTCCACATTGCCAAGGCAAGAAGAGAAACAGAGGACATAAACAACACCCACATAACATGATTCATGAGGGAACTCAAGAAAGACGGCAAAGTGCAACCTTAGTAACATAGCATTATCTCAGGAGGGAGAAGCTACAACATTAATGCAGCCAGATCTAAGTGAATGGGATTAGATTTGAGCGGATGTATGGCATTAACAGATGTCAAGTGTCTCAGTCCAGCCCCACGCTTACTGAGTTAGCTTTTTAAGTGTCTGACTGTCCTTGGTGAGTTTGGTAGTCCATCTGCACAGAGAAAGTGGGAGGAATGTTATTTGGCTTTTCTGAGCTAAGAAAGCCCCTGTGCGTAAGTAAATATCAAAGCTGGCAGCTAATAAGCTCAGGGATGATGCAGTAGTAACCTGGCTGCCCTGCCTCTACAGCCAAATATAACCTGTCTACAGTCTGAGACATACATTTTAACAAAAATAACTTTATCATTAGATATATCAAAATATGCGGTCCGGGTGAGGCTGTAATTTTCTTCACAAATGACTTGCTGCTCATTTATGTCTGTCAAATTGTAACCTAAATTCTCTTCAAAACTTTATTTTCCTGTGAAACAATGCATACGTATAGCAAAAAATAAGAGAATAAGGAACTTTTGATTAGGATAAACGTCTGGACCATTTGCACATATTTAATATTGAGTTGTTGGACTCCTACCAAACAGTTCTGACTTAAAGTGTCTGGTTGTTATGACTGCTATGACTTCAGCATATTACGAAATCTTGCCAGCGCCTGAAACAGATGGGTGATTGTTCTCATGTGAACAAACAGACTGTCTTTAACAGTCAGTTACTGTAAACTTTACAGCAACTGACAAGTAATTAGACTGCTAAATGTGGAAGAATAATCTATAAACTCCAGAGTAAATATGTGCACACACTGACACTACAGCTACCAGGTGTGAGGAGCTTTTGTGAGATGTCTGGACTTCAGTCTGATGACTGACAGAGGATAATCAACTCATGCTGCGGCAGTGCAGGTGTCACAATGTTTACTGAGGAGGATCATCAGAGCTGGGGCTATTTTTGCCAACACTGCCTGCACAGAGAACATTTATGACTGAGCAGTTCTGTTTTTCGAACTGTATCCGTTTGCAAAATCTGATATACCTGCCTCAGCTTCCATCCTGTGGAGTGATTTGGGTTAATCTCGGATGGCTGAGCAGAATATATATGTTGACATTCGGATGTCCACTACTATTTCATGGTTTGACTGCTAGTATGAAAACATTTCTGGGAAATTATTACATGCAGGATACTCACCCCAACTTCTATAAAGTCCTTTTAATTTATAGTCATAAATTAAATTGACAATTTTTTACAAAAAGTAATTTGACACTTGAGCCGTCTTTATAAGAATTCCAAGCAAAAGGCAATGAGGTGACAAAATTCATATTTCAGCAGAGGAAGAAGGTGCTCCTAATGCTTGGCAAGTTTTTAAAAAGATATACAGTAGCTTGGATAGAAACCTCACACTTGGGCACAGTCACACTGTCTTCCAAGTACACGAGCGTTCTTTTGGCAACTTTTTACTTTTTGGCAACAAGGAAAATGCAGCTTTTAAGCAGTGTATAGGACGCTGACAGTCAGCCATCTGCAGAATCCCCATTTGTGTTTAATGTTGCAGAGCGTCCACTGGTTTTTGGATTCATTAATTCCCACACTGTCAACAGCCTGTGAAAGCTGAGGCCTGAAATAGTCTACCCCTTGTCACAGCTGCATTCATGTAAAGGGACTTCAGCAATATAGCCCGTGGTACAGCAGAGGGGCAACATCACTTACAGTGGCAGTTCTCAAAGACAGATAAAGTCGATTTATAAGGGCCTATAGGTAAGTTATTTCTAAGTGTATTATACTCCATCATATATGTGACAAGAACTTGTGATTTATACTGTTTTTGTTTATTGTATAGATGTAAAGGTGCTCTGCAGATATAACTTACTTGTTGTGTTAAATCCGTGGCAAAAGTTGGCTGATAAAATTCTAAAACCAGGGTGGTATTTTTGGATGAGATTCCTGTCCACCTCTCTGCCTGGACTATATTTATCCCCAGTCAATCTGTCAGCACGAATCCTGGCAGTGATTCTGCGACCAGCTTGCTTCTGTGATTTCTCAAACTGGTAATCTCGGATGTTTCCGCCGTTGTGACTTTTGTTTATCTGTGCCATCCAGCTGCAGAGGAAGAGGCACATAGGCAATGATATCGTAGCCATCGTGTTCCAGGAGGAGAACACGCCCTTTGTTCCAGACATGATCCAGTCCAACTTCCTGCATGGGTACGTGGTGGTGCAGGTGGAGAACGCGTGTACGGACAATGTCACATACAAGGTTGGTGCCAAAGACAGACAAAACTGTATCAAGGAACTGCGGAAAAAAAATCATATTCATTCACTTTTGTTTTCAGGAGTTTGTATTTTTAATGTACATGTGCATCACGTATCTCAGTTTATCATAGCCTTTGCTCACCTGCTCTTTCCTCCAGGTGTCTGTGACAGCGCGGGATGATGTACCTTTCTTTGGGCCGGCTCTGCCTGACCCTGCCGTTTTCAAAAAGGTCAGCAGTCACACAAACTTGATTCACCTTTGCAAGCAGACATCATAAACCTTCATTCTCTCCGCCTTTCCTTCCCTTATATTTACCGTCCTCAGGGCCCAGAGTTCCGGGAGTTCCTCTTCACTAAGCTCATCAATGCTGAGTACGCCTGCTACAAGGCTGAGAAGTTTGCCACGCTCGAGGTGAGAAGTGTGCCTGTGTTTGTGTGTGTGTACAACTTTGGAATAGGTGTGCACCCTACTGCCTCTATTCCTAACAGGAATTGATTTCAAGTGCCAACATAGATGTATCGTCATCTAAACATTCTTCGACAACAAGCCAGTGAGCTATAGCGCTGATGTCTATCATCCTGACGTGGTCCTATCATATTTTCATCACTGTCACCCAAATTTGAAATTATGAAGTAAGGTGAATTTAAGACATAGTCCAATTCCTGAACGACCCCTCCGTGTCAGAGTGAGCTCCATATGTAGTCACACTCTCAGCTGAACGAGGCTCCCTTATTTCAGGTGGAGAGGGTTAATACAGCTTTGGGACAATCTCCACTATCTCAGGCAGAAACAGGAAATGTCATACATTTTCAAACAGCTATTTTAGGGATATTTTTAGGCAGATTTCAAACAAAAATGATATAAAATGTAATATTATTAAAACTTTTTTGCACAGTTTACGAGTAAATGTTTGCACAGAACTATTTGTACCCAGCTTGTTCTGCGACATGCAGCAGGTGAAGTCAGGACCGATGCAGAGCCACTGTTGGAGGGAGTGGAAGTGTGTGGTGGGTTGCAGGGGTCGGTTTGGAATTGGGCCTTAGACAGAGTTAGTACCTGTGCAGACTGAGTGTGTTGTTGTTGTCAGGAGCGCACACGGTCAGCCCTGTTGGAGACTCTGTACGAGGAGCTGCACATCAACAGCCAGTCCATGATGGGTCTGGGTGCAGACGATGAAAAGCTGGAGAACGGGGCCGGAGCAGGCGGAGGAGGCTTCTTTGAATCCTTCAAGGTACAGCACCCTCCTGTTAATCTGCAACCCCACATGCATGAGAGCAATTGCACACGGTGCTTTTATTTCCCTTTCCCTGTCTTGGGTGGGATTCTGGGTATTCACACATGAGGCAACAAAGCAGAGAAAATGTGCAGTATCTCAAAAGAACAGCCCTGTGGCGTTTGATTTCACTTGGCTGGGACTGCTGTGTTTCTACATGATGGTGTGGTTTCGGGGCTGCACGGTGTCCTGTTGTGTACGAGAGTCACTTTCTCTGACTGAGTGCTCCATCAATGGACATTAGGGTGGTGGAGCGTGGCCCCTCCACTGAGGCTTGGCGGTAGGAGCTGTGATTGTTTGTGCCTGATGAACGATTTAATGACCCCTCATTAGGGAGCTGATGATGCAGTTTGCATGTCTACCCATGGGCAGATTTCCCTCTGAGCTGTCTTTCCTTCTCCCTGTGACAACAAGTCGTTCTTTGCCATCTTATATACCAATTTTTCTCCCAGCCTCTGGCTTACAATTATTTTATTATGCATGCAAGCATACAATACCTTTCTACAAATCTTGCACACAAATCATGTCTGTTTCTCTAACTATCAAGAGCATCTTTTTCTGTCTCTCAAATCTCCACAAATTATATGTTTCCCTCTCTTTGCCTCAAACTGTGTAAATTCTCCTATTTTCTCTCGCTGTCCTCCTTGCTCACATTGTGTCTCATCTGTCCCTCTAATTACACAAAAACACCTCAAAAGATACATAGAGATGTACAAAGCCTACACTGTCCTCGACCTCCTGTGAACCTACATTTATTTCACGCAGCTTCTCCCTCCTGCTTGTTGACTGGCACTGCCCCTAAGTGTTCGAAAATAGTCCTGCGTACACACATGCAAGCACAAACCAGGATGTGGTCATGTGTACACACAAACAAACACACATGTAAGTACACACACATTTGTTCTCCTCAGAGATTCAACACATTTATTCCAAAGATCTTCACACTTATTAACATTTCACAATAGGCATCACATGTACACATAATCCCTTGAAAAAGAGATCAAAGACCTCAATGGGACCACCTGGTTAAATAAAGGTTTAATAAAACAATAATAATAAAAGTTAGGGTGATCACAAGAGTGAGACCGCAAAGAATAATTCAAGACCCTGAAAACAGATTCAGCTAAATGGAATTCATCCATCATTAACTCTATTATCATCACCTTTTACTTAAATATTGTGACAACGCTTTCTATTAAAAAGCCCTTCCATCAATGTGTGTGAATATTTAATGCAGATAAACATACCCTCATTTATGAAACTTGACCTAATTTGGATTAATGTAATTTTATTTTTTGTATATTCACATATATTTGGTATACGATCTTTTGAGAAATCGGTCGGTGAGTTGCATTTCCCCCAAAACATCAAAGTGGATCCTCTGACAGTATCTCCTCGTTTCTCTCTGTAGCGGGTCATCCGTAGCAGAAGCCAGTCTATGGACGCCATGGGCCTCAGTAACAAGAAGTCAAACACTTTCTCCACTAGCCACAGTGGCAGCTTTACCCACAATCCCGCAGAGAGCCCCAAAACCCCAGGGATTGTAAGTAGCCCGTTTTGGTTCACATGAAGCCACCTATCATACATAAAGGATACAGTATACAGTATATCCAGCACAGTGGATGAATACAGACTGCTTACCCTATATTCTTTCTTATAAGCTAATTACCCTTGTCAGCACATTGTATCACCTTACTCTCATTATGATGTTATTATTTAATGCTGATTTTCATTCCTGACATTTTTCATTTACCCTTGCATTATTCTAAAGTGGCTTCCATTATTTGCCTTTTTTAATTTACGGCTCATCTTGTTCCTATCAATGATGGTTTTGTTTGGAAAATTACCATCATTAATTTCATCATTCATTCTCATCTGTTGAGATAATCTTCAAACAGGGTGACTGTTAGGTTAGAAATCAAGGATGATGTGAAGAATAGAGTATCCATCGTGGAATGAATCAGATGGTTTCCTTCTTGATGTGAGATTGTTTTAGAGCCCCGGTTAAGTCTCTATCCTCAGCCTTGAAGTGTGCTTAGTGTAACTGTATGACTACCCAGACTCCCTCCCTCCTTACTATGCTTCTGTCATGTCTGTTTGCTTCTGTTTATGTTACGACCTCTCTTTGCAGCCTTGTATATGTGCATGTGTGACTGCAGAGCATGCATGGCACAAGCCAAGGAACGCTACGCCCTATTTGTTCAAAGATGGGCTTAAATATATTTCAATTTTTCTGACATTCATTGTCGTTTTGGATTTGTCAGTACTTTGAAATGGGACTAACTTAACCCCATTTTACAGGCCTATTCCTTAAAAGCTATTCCCTTTGGATTCTGTCTGCCCTTTTTGCCTTTTTTCTCCTTCTGAATGCATCGCTAAGCAACCCTGTAACCCTCAGGGCAGAAAGGGGCGACATGCCTGCTCTCTCTTTGGCACTCTATTTCCTGCTGTGCCCCTCTGTGTCAGGACCCCAGTTTGCTTTAAAAGCTTTTGACTATTTCTTCGATATTGTGCTCTCTATTAAGTCGTACTGCTAGCTCTTTTTCAAGCTCCTTTGCAGCTTGTTGTTAAAATGATTTGTGCTGTTTGCATGATATCTTATGATGTGTTCTTTTCTTTTCCTCCCACCTTACTTTTTCCCATCTATCCTCTCCTCTCTCTCTGTGCTTTCCTTGTGTGGCTCAGTCATTGCTTGTTCCAGGGAAAAGTCCCAGTAAATATGGACGCCGAGGCAGTGCCATAGGAATAGGAACAATAGAAGAGGTTCATGTATATTTCTCCCTTCTTGTTTACTGTTTTTGTCTCTCTTTTTTCTTTCTTTACTTTTATCTTTTAATGTTTCATATTTTCATAATGTAAGTGAGCAGTACGTAGTTTGAAATGTGCCTGTTTTATTTCCTGTAGCAGTGAGAAGTTTTCAGATTTTGTAGCAATGTTTTTAATGAGAACTTCATTCATGCATGTATTCATATAGTACCTGAACCACACGCAATTTCACTTTTAAATTGGTCTTTAAAGATAACATAAAATAAGATCAACCTTTATTGCTCCCCTTAGGGAAACTCAGGTATCTTAGCAGCAACAGCAATGATGGTAAACACAGCAGGACACATATGAATTCACATAATAATAATAATAATAATAATAATAATAATAATAATAATAATAATAATAATAATAATAATAATAATAATAATAATAGAAATAGAAATAATAGAAATAATAGAAATAAAGAAAAGGTAAGAATATATATATATATATTTTTTTTTTTAATGTATAACGTGACTGTATAGGTTCAAATGTAATTAAAGAATAATAATAATAATAATAAATAGAAATGAAGAAATAAAATGAAAAAAAGTGACTGTATGAATTCAAATGAATATATCATTTGTCAATTTGGAAGTGCGGGTCCAACTAAATTATAGTGCAAGTCATAGGTACATACAGGGCAGGTTGTTTTGAGTTTTAATGAGTTCTTATTAGGCAGTCAAGCCTTTATTGTAGAGCCTGATGGCTACTCTGTAACAGAACAGTAAACATTTAAAAAAAACACTCCCACTGATGTTCTTTTACACAGTCAGTGTGTACTAGACCTTTTGAATTTTTAAACTCCACAGTCTGACCTTAGCGTTCAAAATTAAAAGGAAAGAACATTGATTCAAACAATTCGTGTGTCAAATTTTATTTGAATATATTAATATTAACTAATTTCAGAATCTCAGAGCAGAGTGGATTGGTAAAACATGTTTCTTAATGTGTCACAGGATTAATCAAATCATCAGTCCATAATTCATTTTGCCGCATAGTTCTACATGTGCACATATTTCCCTTCAGTAGCTTAATGTATCATATGCTTGTGAATGATGACGCTACCCCCGATCGTGTGTCTGACTCTCCTCTCCCTGCCCACCGTCAGTCATTGATCATTCCTGGGAAAAGCCCGACCAGGAAAAAATCTGGCCCATTCAGCTCCCGCCGCAGCAGCGCCATTGGCATCGAGAACATCCAGGAGGTCCAAGAGAGGAGGTGAGAGGACAGAGCACAGCTGATCCGCAGCGAGTGGGTAGTGAGGACAGAATAGTGTTGCAACAGATGGAAGCAGTGCATTACAATGAGGAAATGAGCCATTAGAAGGCACACTGTTAAAATTGGACACATTATGAAAGACTCTCTATTTAAGTGCCTGTGTACACACATTTGGCGATCTGGAGTGCCTAGTGAGATAACATGATAATCAACAAGCCTTAGGAGCTTCCATTCCTATGTCACATGCAGGCTTATAGAAATAAGGCCCCCCATCAAACTATCTCCAACAAGTGCTATAGAACTCACTTTTAAAGGGTCTACCATTTGTTTCTGGCCTGCCAATGAGAGCACAATGGGCTTTTCCAGAAGGGGGGCTTAAACAGACAGGCACTTAAAGGAAGGGTTTCAGACAGAGGGTGATTACTCGTATATTCAGACAGACAATAAGTGTAAGTGTATGTGGGCTATTTTTGGACCAGAGGGCCTTTTATTGGAGATCTTATTATTGAAAGGGAGAGACAGAGGGGAGGACATTGCCTGAAATGCTCGGCTGGCTCAGGATTTGACTGACTTACTAGGCAGTGGTGACCGCCTTTTGGCCGCCAGCTCCTACCACTGAACTGTCCGGCGGCCAATAAAGTGTTTTTTAAACATCAAAGCATGTAAACATGTTCTGGGGGGGGTAAAAAAGTATGAGACTGAAAATGAGCAAATTAAGTCTTGCAAGCTCTTTTTGTTGGGCTGTTTAGATAAACAATGGGGATTTGAAATACTTTACTGTATTTGTTGTTCCTTGTGGGGACATTAACAGCAGCTGGGGTTGCCCAGGATACGTGCATGCAATTGTCACCCACATATTAATTACTATCATATTTTTTGTAAATCTGAAATGTGCATGGAAATAATGTGATGGCCGAATAAACAATCTCATTAATGCATTCAGTAATATCCAAACAAGCATACCTGCTGCTGAATAAAAGTGCATTGTGAAAAAACATACACGTTCATACATGAACCGAAATATGAAGTGCACTTAGAGACTCCCACACAATCCATTTAGATAACACTGCCTTCAACTTGTTGTTAAAATGGGGACTTATATTTGTGATGCAGCAGTTGATGTGCATGTCACTTCAATGGGAAAACAAACTTTAAACAAAAGTTAAACAGCAGTCTGTGGCAGTTAAAGGCACATGATCAGAAGATATGAAAGTGTTAAACATTCCTCAAGAGTTTGTCTAATGTGTCATCATATGAAATAAGTAAACTGACTGCATTTTCATATGTCAATCTCCATTCTTGTCCTGAAGTCGAGAGGTGTCACCCAGCACCCAGAGGACACCGGAGGGCATCCACTTCTCTCTGGAAAACAGATCAGACAACTCCTCCAATCACAGCTCTCCTGAATTCCCTACTACTAGGAACAGGTGAATATTATTTTAATCAACAATATAATAGTATACTTTATTATATTTACGTACATTGACAAGATATTTGTGATGAATGGTCCCTTGGGTCAGTCAATAGGGAATATTTGTATTAAATGGAACAGCAACCCTGCATGGAGGATTACCCTCATAGTCATAGTCATTTTTGGGCCATTTACTTAAATGAAGCTACACAATTCACCTTATATTTTTCCAATTGTCTCTAACATTCTTGTTTATTGTTGTTCCAAAAACACTCTTATCCTATTCTGCAGGAGTCACCTGCAAAGCAGAATGTGTGCCAGTGTCTAGTGTAGATCAAATACAAATAATAATAATAAAATAGAATCATTTTCGACATTTAAATCTGAGATAATGATATATATGCAAAAACTAAAGTTAATGTGAGACAATATATTCTAGAATTGACTATAGTGCTGAGTGACATGTTTAGCTGGAAAACTAGTTTACTTGGTCTGGGGTATTGCCAAGTCCTTGATGAAATCTAATTTGGGGGTTGCATTAACTACAGAACAGCTTTTTAGATTACGCAATAACCTGGCACCGACAAACACACTGCTGTCACGTTGCTTTAAAGTGCTACCTGAGGTGCTGTGAAATGAAGATGATGAATTAATTATACTTTTGGAGGGAATAGTAGAACAAAAATAAAGAAAACATGTTGATTGTCCTACTTTAAATACATTTACCGTATGGGAAACACAGGAGTTTGTTGCGGTCAGAGTGACCCAGGTGTGTAGTTTGGCGATGTGTTGCAGGGCGCCGTCCATCCCCGAGGCGCAGGACCTTTCCCGCTCTTCCTCCAACGCCAGCAGCTTTGCCAGCGTAGTGGAGGAGCACGAGGCAGAGGAGGAGTACGACACCGGACTGGTGGGTGGAGACAGGCAGAGAGACAACACATAATGAAAGTACATATATGCATGCCACTTCCCAAAAACCAAAACCGCAGGCAGCGTCTCATAGCTGATGACATATTTATCATTCAGCTCATGTTTACTGTGGGGAATAATAAGCTATTAATCTTGTTCCTTTTCGGTTACCTTAATGTGAGAAGGTTTGATGGATTTAACTTCATCCCAGTAACGACAGGTCTCAACATGAATCCCATAGTAATCTATATATTTTTGCTTACTTTCATTTGCATGTCAAAAGTATAGAAAATGCCAATACTGTTTTGGAGTAGAGCTGTGGTTAAAATTAAGCTGTCAGCATTTCCTTTAAAACATTTCTGGTAAAAATATTACATAACTTCCTTTACCCTTCCTACAGGAAAGTGCGTCTTGTGTTACGCCACTCAAGGGAGAGTCATTTACGTACGGCTCAATGGAGGACAGTTCGTGCAGTGCAACCCAGGGGAGTGTTCCAGGTGAGTTAAGCAGTAAAGAGCTCATATTTCTGGGACAGTGATAGCCTGAAGGTGTGAGAGACAAGTTCACAAGGGCCCCATATCAACACTATCTGGGGAAAATGGAGCGGATGTAAGAATAACACTCTCCACATCCCGAGCAATTAATATCCAAACACCCTTGACTGCTGATCCTCGCCTTAACTGCATTAGTGGAACTCACTGCCAACACCAGAAGGACCAGTCTGTGTTACAAACTCTTCTTAAATTAATATATTCTAAAATGTACATTATTGCTGACTAATCTGGAATTTCCACACAGTTGCTGTTCTTTTTAAATGACTGACGATTCACTCTAGAACGTTATTCTCTTGCATGCTTGGATATCCTTTTTGTGATAGAACAGCTGGCAGCATTATGTGCTTGAGTTTATAAACTATGACAGCCACGCTTGTGTTGCCTCTTTCCCAGCAGCGTCTCGTCTGCAGCAGCAACCGGATGGAGTGAAGAGCTCGGAGCCCAAAGGGACAGACAGCCGGCCCAAGACAGAGCGCTCCTCATCGGTGAGACAACCTGCTTGTCATTCTTCATTAGGGGACGCTCAGATGGTCCTCCATGTTTTACAAAGTCACTGAAAGAATGTTCCTTTGTGTAAAAGGGTGGGTGTGTGGCAGTGGCGTAACAAGGTTGTGATTGGCCCCGGTGCAAATATTGTTTTGGGGCCCCCCCCCCCCCATCGCCCCAAACATAAGCGCATGCTGATGCACTCACACATGCTCGGACATACACAACCACTCAGAAGCGCCACATGTATAGGCTATCAACAACAACCTGCCCTGGCCTCAGACCACCACAGACTGACAACGGCACAGCGAACTAAGAAGAGGATTAAACCTGTCTCCTTGATGTTTGTCTCTGGGGAATGGACCGGTAGGCCTACATAGACCGGTTGCTATAATATAGCTTTTGATCTTGGCGTCGGGGGTCTCAATAGCGCCATAGAGTCCCCTATCGGTTGGGGCCCTTGGGGGAACTGTTGGACCACCGCCGGGCACAGCCAAATCCAGACACAGCCACGGCCACGGATACAGCTTCACTTGTGGAGCTAGATGGCAATGATGGTGGTGAGGCAGGTGAGCTATCGTTAGCCTCCGGCTGCCACTGCACGTGAACATTGCTAACGTTAGCGCTCGATTTCAAGGACAATGTATGACAAAAAAAACGGTCTCATTTTGTCAGTTTAGCTGTTACATCTCCTTGTTCTCTCTTGTCCTTTCTCTTTTGAGCGCTGCTCTTGTGCTTTGGTTTGCTGTACATTATAAATGCAACCTATTACATTTTTTATAATGCTACCGAACTTGCTGCTGCTAGCTACAGTACAGTACAGGTTGATTAAACGGTTCGCTCGTCACGCAAGGTATCACATGACATGAAAGGGAGCAAGGTCATTGGACAGACAAATTACAAATGAATTCAGGTTGCTTGGTTACTTTGAAGACTGCGTGAACCGGTCAATGCCATTGGGGCCCCCAAAAAAAACAAAAAAAACAACAACAAAAAAATAGTTTTTGCATGGGCCCCTTGCCGGCTCTGGGCCGCGGTGCGTTGCACCGGCTGCACCGTCGATAGTTACGCCACTGGTGTGTGGCAGAGAAATTCCCTCTGGTTTGAACTTTGGGATTGTAGCCTCTGCAGACCATTTACATGCACACAAACATTTAACACACTACAGGAAAGGGAAAACCCCCAAAAAGCATAATTGGGCCCATTTAAAGGTAGATAGTTTGAGATTAAGGGGAATGTATATTACCCAAAAAGTGTGTAATAAATAAATAAATTGAGTTCATTATTGAGAACAAATATGTATTACTTACAAGTCAAGTATGAACATTTGCACACCTTTTTGGGTTTCATGTGATATATTTGGCCTTTGAAAATGTCAACTTCAGTACTAGCAACTTCTAATGGGTCGGATCATGCTAACATTTAATAATTTGCTCTTAATTCAAAATACATCTTGGGCTGATGGTAATGTCTTTAGTTTTGCAGTTATTGGACATCATTTTGACCTGATGTGCACTTAAGGGATCATCAAAGATATTCACAATCACCAGTCAATAATATCAATCTTCTGGGAACCATGAATGTTTAAAAAAAAATCTGTGCCATCAGTCCAATAGTTTGAAATTTGAGTCCGGACGAAAGGGTTGAACGGACTGACTGTTCGACATTGCCATCTATAGATTCATGTGGAAAGCATAGAAAACCAGAATAGACAAACATTTCTGTTACATTTGTCTGTATTAACTACGAGTAATCACTATGCCCTTTTTTATGTCTGTATGCAGAACTGTTAGCCGCACTGCTCTGATCACTGCATCAACGTCCATCTTCCGGTGAGACATAATGTTGACTTGTCATAATTGTACGACTTAAAGATTTTTTTTAACCCTACATTCACCTGATCCTCCTTTTTGTGTGCGTAACATTTTCCTCCTTTGTCTCAGCATTGCCATTAGAGGCATCTTTAGCCAAAAACTAGCCAAGGGAACCACTGACGCAGAACAGGAGCCGAGTCAGAAGGCAGATCAAGAGACTGACAGATCTTTCTTTGTATGTTTGGCATGGATCCTCTGACTGGACATGAACCCACCTATCGTCCCTCATTCCAGCTCAATGGGGAACCCTGTAAACTCAAAGCATGGGAAAGGACACCTCCACAGCCATGCAGCATCATTACTGACTGTCATCCATCAGCTGGCTTAGCAGAATAAGCCTGGCTGCTGTATCATTCGTCAAGCCAGTAAGCTCTGAAAACGGATTCTTGCTGTCGTCTTGAAAAGATCAGGGTAAGAACTGGGGTTAAATAATGGGGAATGAAATCATAATCGATGAAACAACTGCTGTTTGTTTTAGCTTGTTAAACAGTCTATAGAGAGGAGAGTTGCACTAGATAGAAACATGTTTTTTTAAATGTCAACCTCATATCCCACTGTGATATTGTACATGGGTTTAACTTTGATGTACCAGGTGTGTTTGTGTGGCTGTCTGTCAAGGCCACTCTTTGTGTTTTATTGATCTTTTCTTCTTCTGAGTATTCTGCTGTGGATATTTGTCGTGTTTTACGACAGCTTCGGTCAACCTGTCATGTTTTTAATGGAGGGTACTTCTACAATGCTGTTGTTGGTGGCTGTAAAAGGATCTGTCGCCTCTCTCCTAGGTGGGCGATGGGTAATATAGGGTACGGTAAATTGTGTCTGCAATTTTTTATTCAAAATTGTACTGAAATACAGTAATTCTGTAGAAAGAAATACGATAGAGATGCTACTTAGTAAAAAAACAAGAGTAAAAAGCATAATTACTGCAGTGCTCCAACCAGCAACATGCATCCTCAATCCATACGTCAAGGTACTGCTGTTTAGACCTTTGTCCCACACCACTTGTTGACTTGATGTCTGTGTACAAGTGTGTACAACGGTACTGTGCATGGTGTAAATCGGCTTGCCAAAAACCTCTGTACACTGTTGCCATGCTTGACATAGAGGTGTTGTCCCTGTGATTTGTGTTTTATCAGAAACCAGCCAACATCTCCAGAGTGAGTTCACAGTTTCCTACTTTATTTGTAAAGTGTAATATAAGTACGTGACCTAAGCACTACATTTGCAGAGTTATTTCGTATGGCGACCTCTTGTTGCTGAATATGAATTTCACTGTGACTCCTCCTGAAGTTGCCTTTAAAATGATTGTGTCCTGCGAGCTGCTTTGAAGGAGGGTCATATTTGAAGGCACTGTGTTGCCTCCAGCTGGCTTGAATGTAAAAACTTAGGCAGACATTTATTTATTTGTACATATCTGCCCCGATGAATGGTGAAAACGTAAGTCTGAAACAGCTCCCCTTTTCAGAGCAGAGAAGCTTATTCATGTTTTTCCATTTGTGATGAGGGAAAGAACTGACACATGGAGTTTATTTCAGTAATATGACTGAAGAGGACATGAGATTTATTGTCTTTGGTGATTTAAAAACAGCATTTCCAGTTTGTGAAAGTGCAAAAATGTTGAGACACTGGACCAAATGCAAAACAGCCCAAAGTGGGTTCATCAAGCTACAATCTTTTGCTTTTTACTTGAAAAAGGCATTGAAAAGACATAAGGACACATTTTTGGTAATAATGACACATATGTGTATTACAGCCTCTGAAATTGATTCATGAAAAAATGTCAAATGATTTTACTTTGGAAATGCTTGAGTAGATGATGTGCACCCTCTTGTGGCGATGTAATATTATAGCATATTACTATGTGGTACCGTTCATCTAACTGTGCTTGCTATAAACCACAACAAAAGGAGGGACCCTTTTGTGCTCCATTCAAATTATTGTATTTCTGTTCTTGTCTGCTTAAGCCCTTGTTCAAAACACATGTTTGTAAATATTGCTTTACATATCTTTTTGTAAATAAAGCCACCAAAAATGTTTATTAAAGAAGAAGATGCATATTAGACCGAGCCCTTGGTTAATTGTTCCTACACACGTGATAACTGTGTAAGTTCTTTGGGGGGGGGGGGGGGGGAGATTGGCACGCATTGCAAGACTATGAGAAAATAAAGCGTTTCATGATTTTAGAGAAAATGTAAGGCAAGAAAATGAGAGGGGCTGCGTTTGTTTTCTTGAACCTGAATCTGGTCCTCTAACCCTTCTCCACCCACGGATCAGTTTTTATTCACATCTCCAGGTTCCACCACTTGAAGTCAAACGGTTCCCTACGGACGTTGGAGCCGCAGTGCACCTCTCCCAGGTTTTTATGGTAGGAGGCGAAGGCGTCGATGAAGGTGCAGCTGAGACCCAGGCCCTCCATCAGGGAGCACATCTCCACCTCCAGGGCACAGCGTCCATTCACCTTGGGGCCAAAGGGCTTCGGAATGCCCAGGTTTTTCCCCAAGACGATCATGTTCACCTGGAAAGAGACAAGATAGATCATAAGACTCACGGTATCGTCTCCTAGATTTATTTCAAACAATCACATACTGTATAAGCAATATGTCTGCACACACCATGTCGGGGTAGTAAGCCACGGCTCTGAGCTCAGTCTCAGCCTTGTTGTCCATCACTAACTTGAAGAGGATTGGCAGGTCGATGATGTCCTCGTCGTCCAGGCCCAGCTCTCGCTTCAGCACATCTCTGTTCCAGTCAATGCAGCTCTGAGAGAGCAGGCAGTAAAAAATACATCATCCATTACACAAACTATACAACACCCAATTTGTATCTGTAACCTCTTATTAGAGAAGGGTCTCTCAAAAAACCTTTGAGAGAGTGCTTTAAGCAAAAGAAAAAATACATTTTCCAGTACTCAAGATCATCTTTGTCCACCGAAGAGTTCAGTAACCTTGAATTCGGCTCTGTCATAGGATGCCCTCTTCCCAACGAGTCAGTGTCAAATTTCTGTCCTGTTTAATTTGACCTGACCAATTATAAGTGCTGATATAGTAGAATTCAAACATCGAAAGGCAGGAAAAAAAGTGATGCAGAAGGCCATACAAGCTCAAACAAGTTCATATAACAGGGCTGCTGAACATCAAATATGTTGGAACTTGGTAGGGAGAAAAGACAAATGGCCTTCATCATGAAAAGTGTTCATCAGGAGCTTTGATACAAGTGGTCAAGCGGGGGCATATTCAGACTAACAGCAATGTAAAATGTTAGTCTTGAGAGCAGTGGAAACTTGTTGTCAAAAGGGATGAATCCTTCACTTCATCTGGCTTTCTGTTGGATGAATCTTACTTTGACAGGATGCAGGGGAAACAATGTTAAATGCATGCTGCCAACTGTAAAGATTTATGGAGGCTGTTAATTCAGTTTTTCTTGATTTATGCTTAGACCCTTATTTCCGATAACGGGAAAACATTGATGTCAAAGCACCCTGACTTTACCCACATCCAACACTTTTTAAATAAACAGTAACGCTGACAGTGAGACAGTCGTTATCCCCTAACATCAATGCTTTCCTTCACTAATGCTCATTTGTCTGAATGGGAGCAAATCCTGCAGTCTGTATCTAAAATCATGCCGAGTTTACACAGAGTAGAAGCTGTTATAGTGCTATATTAACACCTACAGTTGTGGAATGAGGTTGTCTACATTATGAGTGTAATTTCTGGCTGGCGGTTGTTTTGAGAAGGGAAATATTTTTTAATGAAAAAGTACAGAGGTGATTAAATGTTTGTGAGAATGTTGCTATAACTTTGCAATTAGATCTTCGGGGGATTGTATTCCCTGCACCAACAAGTAGACAAAGCAAGCTGTATGTTGGTCTTACTATACAATCCCACTCACCTGCACGTAGTTATTTTCAGCTGCGAGCCCTTTGTCATTCAGAATCTCATCCACTGTTTGTTGTTCTTCATCTTTCAGACCTTTTTGGAAGTGGGGAGGATAACATGATGACTGTGTGCATTGCTAAGAACTCATTGTGTAGTTGTTTTTTCCAATTTAGTTTGAGACAGGCCTACCCTCGAACAGTTTGGCTTGCCCGTGTCCATCCCTCTGTAAGCCTCTGAATAGTTTGTAGCCTGCGTCCGGGCTGGCCAGCAGCAGCCGGAATCCCTGTGCACAGAAACACAAGAGACAAAGATAACAGCAGCTGCCCCATTGTTCTGGGAGCTCATTCAATCCATCACATAAAAGCATGTCGGTATCCACCGGTAACAGCTAGCAGCTTCCTGTCTCCTAACTATGCAACGTATCCTCATGTGTTTCATGTCTTGAGCAAAGTTACTCCGTATTTTTCGTGCATTCTCAAATGGATGACATGCAAATTAGTAGTTATCAGATGTGCTGAAAAGGTAACCACAGAAGAAATAAGTTCCTTAAGCAATAGTTTCATAATGGGTCGAAATCGAAAATTGTCTGGCAAGTTTAACCAATACCCAACAAATTATCTGAGTGATTATGGGTAAAACTGAAGACTCAAGAATGGGAAGTGAAACCATGAAGACTAAGTGTGAATTTCCTAGGTAGTATGAGTAATAATGAGGGGGATTAAGAGATAGTGAAGATAGTGTTGAAACTTGTTTTGACACAATTATCTCTATTAGTCATCAGTCTGCTCTTACCAGCAGACAAACACCTCCACAGGCTGCAGGGTGTTGGGTGTCATGATCCAAGGTGCCACTCTGAACATTTGACATGCAAATTGACACGTGTTGCACAACAGCTTTTTCAAAGTAAACTTGCTTCTTCACAGAAATGAACTTTGTAGTTTGGGTTAAAATGACCACTAATGTGGTAAAGATAAAGCACAAAGAAGGCCACTTTTGGTTCAAAATAACTACATTTTATATTTAAAAGGGATCATTTACCTTTCTGTCAGGTGCAGGAACAAAACTCATGAATTCATCTATGTGGCCGACTAAAAGCCAGTCAGAGAATAAGGCAACGGGCTCCTGAACCTTCTGAGCCCACAAGAAGTCTTGGACTACTTTGGTCATGTTGCGTCCTTTAGTGGCCCTTGAAGAAAAAGACAAATTAATTAAATAATGTTGACAAGTCCTCGCCACCCTGTGTCATGTGTTTCCCTGTTACAAACGTACGTAGGGAAAGCCACTCCGATGAGGATTCTGCCCAGGGGGTAGTTTTTCCCATTGACGGTAACGGGAGGACTAACCTCCAGATTACCGAATGAGTCCAAACTGCTTACGTCTTCTCTTTGGGCCACCCTTGTCACATAGCCAAAGTCGGGGCCCTGAGGACATGCAGGTGGTTAAGGCTCCTGCTCAGACTTGAGGAAATACTCTGCTTTCAACATTTGTGTTGAAGGTTGTCCCCGAAAGGGATATACAAATATCTGGTTAAAATTCTTGAAACTGTATTTCAAGAAAAAAAGGAGTCTCACCAGCAGCTCATCGTATGGAAAATCCTTGAGACCACGATCACGAGGAGAATCCAGAACAACAGGAAACCCGTGATGAGGTGAGTCGATGTATCCAAACTCCAGCTCGTCCTGAAAATTAGACGTAGAGATCTTATCAAACTTTTTTAACAAAAATCTGAAATATCCTGACTCAAAATGATGCAGAAAAACGAATTAATGCTTTTATAACCTCTAGGCTGGATTACTGCAACTCCCTTCTATCAGGCTGTCCCACCACATCCATTACAAATCTTCAGCTAGTACAAAATGATGCAGCCCGTATACTAACTAAAGCCAGGGAAATGGACCACATCACTCCAATTTGAGCAGCTCTACACTGGCTACCAGTAAAGCACATCATTGATTTTAAAATACTTATTTGAACTTACAAAGCGCTAAATGGTCAGGCACCTTCGTAGCTAAAATGTATTTTAATCCACTATTGCCCCCCTAGAACATTACGCTCCCAGGTTGCAGGTCTGTTAATGGTGCCCAGAGTCCGCAAAACAAGATCAGGAGTCAGTGTTCAGCTACCAAGCTCCCTTTCTCTGGAACCAACTTCCTGTTTTAATCAGAGAGGCAGAGAGAGTCCAAACCTTTAAGAGTGCGTTGAAGACCTACACTTTTAACAAAGGCCTCAGTTAGAGCTGGTATTTTATGGTATTTTTTTTTATTTTATTTTTATGGTAATTCATTTGAATGTTTTATGTATTTATATTGACTTTTTTTGTATCTTATTTTATTTAGTTTTCTCCTTTTGCTGTAACTCCATCATATACAATGTTGTTGTTTGTTTTTGTTCTGTAAAGCCCACTGAGACAAACGTGTTTTGTGATATTGGGCTGTACAAATAAAGTTTGATTTGATTTGATTTAACAGATTTTTTTAAGAATTTGTTTTCTGTTTGGATTGTTTCATGTTACTTTGAGGTTTTGAATGAATGGTTCCTTTTTTCCCCGATGTGGTTTACATGAAATCCGCGGACATTGCCACTGTTATTGCAGTGTTTTAGATTAGAATTTTGTATAGCTTTCCATTTATTGTAGAGGTACATTTAGTCAGTTGATGATCATTTCTAATACGTATTTTTTCATGTAAAAAATATGCCCACAGTATTGAGTATGTAAGTCGCTTTGGATAAAAGCGTCTAACAAGTGATATGTAATGTAATGTAATGTAATATAACACATTCGACTTTCTTACCTGCATCCAGCGATCTTCTCTGTTCATATACTCATGGCAGATCTTAAGCTTGTAACCGCTCTTTGTGACAAGGTTCCTCATTCCTTTAAGGAACTGGTAGTTATCAGATGTGCTGAAAAGGTAACCACAGAAGAAGTAAGTTCCTTATGCAATAATGTGTCGAAATCGAAAATTATCTGAGTGATTATGGGTAAAACTGAATACTCAAGAATGGGAAGTGAAACCATAAGTGTGAGACTAAGACTAAGTGTGAATTTGGTAGTATGAGTAACAATGAGGGGGATTAAGAGATAGTGAAGATAGTGTTGAAACTTATTTTGTCACAATCATCTCTATTATTCATCAGTCTGCTCTTACCAGCAGACAAACACCTCCACAGGCTGCAGGGTGTTGGGTGTCATGATCCAAGGTGCCACTCTGAACACGGCTGTGTCTGTGAAAATTGGCGTCTCAGGGAGACCCTGTCAGAGCACGAGAGAGGCAGCTGAGTACAAGTATGTTAACTAAAAATCTTTCTAAGCCAACAAAAACATACTCAAAACGGATATAACCTTTGCTGTATTAGGTTATAAGAAATGGTTGTGTTCAAAGTTTAATTATGTTGTTTGAAAGTTTGTGCTTGATTTTGGAAATAGTGGTTTCACACAAACACTTGTTTATCTGAAGGTCCATCCACTAAATTGCTTTCAGCCAGATCAACAGAAAGAGACTGAGTTGTGGTTAAGCTATGAAAAAACAACTAGGTGGACCATGAGTTCATATGATTTTAAACGTATTTGTTCTGGACTTTTTTTACAATTTCATTTTAAAAAGGTTTATAAAGTAAAATGATTAGTTGGCGTTACATTATAAATGTCATGTTGCAGGTCTTACCTCAGAGATGGGCTCTAGCAGACTGAGGTTGATGCTGATGAGCCCATCGAAGTCTTTGTCAGGATACCTGAGGCCCTCCACGTAAAACTTCATCTCCGAGACGCCTCCGAGGTAAGGCACCTCCTGGGACAGGACCTCATTGCTCAGCACCAGAGGATATTCCTTCACAAAAAGGTTGAAGAGTTTCTCTGGGAAGCAATAACAACACAAACAATGCTTGAATTATAAGGTGCTTCATTGCATGTGCTTCAATCAAGTGCTCCCTCTCCCCTACCAAACAAAGAATGGTTGAATCTCACTACAGTTTCACTTTCAGCTACCTTATAGTCAATATGGAGCATAGCTAGCAAAAACAGGGATTTATTTAACTCATATCATATTTAACATTAGTGGATCATAACCGTTTTGAGCCCTGATCAAGGCCAAAGTGTGGCCTGCAGCAGATTATGCAACACTTGTTTATTGTTCAGCTAATTTAAGTTAAAGACAAATGAGGAGTCAGCAGTCAATGAGAGTTTATAAAACAAGTTTTTCAAAAATGTCTGATTTACCGTTGTAATCATACACATATTAACACAAACATATTCTGAATTGCATGCACACAACATCATCTGTTCTGGGTTATTCACCCACACTCTTTACTAACGCATTGAATTGCTCTCCACTCCAGAGGATCTGGCCCTGAAGACCCTGACGCTCTCTGCGTCGCCCTGAGAGATGTGCATGGTGAGCTTGTAGCCCTCTGGGAGTTTGGCCGGGCCTTTGGTCCGCAGCACCATGAGAGACATGTCCTTCAGATCTGCACACCCATAAAACATCATGTTAGTGTCCTGCAAATGTCATTCAATCCTATATACTTTAGATTTTACTCAACATGTAACAGATACATGACATGAATGTGCTTGAGTGACTTTTTTATGCTTTTAACACTAAAAGTATATAGTACAGTGAATGTCTGGTCATATCTGTGATAAATACGGGGCACCCACACTCACACATAATGAACAACACCTGCTTGTACTATCAGATTTCAGCTCTACTGGTTTATCTGCAGCAAAGTCATTTGAGAGGCCTGCTTTATCAAACTGCCCTCTACACTCACGCAGAGGTCTTTAGATTTGTAGTTTCATCACACAGGTTTGCCCTTTCAACACTTTAATCTGCCAACTGTGCAAAAGCAAAGATGAGTGACCTTTTAATGCTGGCAACAGTAATGAAAAATGTGCAGAGTGAACAAAGAGAAGCTGTTTTTTACCTGACACTTTGGAGACCTGGTCCTGCTCGCTATCTGGTTTCTTCAAGAACATCCACTCCGAGTCACAGTTGACCAATAGGATGGCTCCGTGACCATTTGAACCCCATTTCCATGATCCCTAACACGTTTTCAAAAAAACAGACGTGATTGAATCTAATTTAATGGAAATCTAAAAGGTAGAAATGTTTTGCACCACAGATTGACGGCAAATATTGTACTGCATATATATCAAACTTATAAAAAGACACAAGAATAAGAAACAAAATGATGTTTAAATAGCACAATCATAGAAAGATCTCCCCTCTGTTGGAGAGTAAAAATCAAATACACAGTAGTCAGAAACCCTTTAAATGATTAATATGCAATGCTGAGTTATCTACATAAACAGAATTCAGTTTGTCACACTTGGCATGTTATTGTTCATGAGAAAGTAAAACGTAGATCAAATATCTCCTTCATTAGGTGTCTGTAAAGTTATCTGACACCTTTGAGCTCACCTTATTAGCGTTGTTTTTCTCCACAACACCGTCTCTGTCTGCATCCACATCCAGAGAGATCTCTGTGCACACACAAACACACACAGTTTGTTTATCACAGTTCCTCTGCATGGCACACATGTTCCAGATAATGGTTGATATCAGAGTATTGCTAATGTTGCACTGGTATACTATTTTATACACATTTCTTTCAAGTCAAACAAATAATAAGTAGTATAAATATGTTTTTTTCAATTAGCTTATTTTGCTTACCAACCGCTGTCAGGTGCATGAGGGCCCTCCCCAAAACATCTTTCTTCTCCCCATAGTATCGGATAGACAACTTAAAATGCAATGGCAAAAGGCATTTAGTTGCACATCATGACATTTGACGATTCAAAATCTAAAAGACACATGATCAATGTACATTGTAGCAAAAAGCTCATGATCAATGTGAAATATCTCCTCTGGTTATTTGGAACGTAGTTAATCATAAATCAAAAGAAGCAAAAGCTACAAAAGTTTGATTTCTCGTTAAACTCTACTCTTAATCAGAAAGTTCATCCAATGACAAAAGGCAATTCTCTGAAATGAAACGATTCCTAAAATACAAAACGATGAGCAAACTGTTTCTGAAAAATTGCCTAACCATGACTGCTTTATAGGGATGTAACGATACCAAAAACTCACAGTACGATAATATCGCGATAACAAGTCCACGGTACGATATTTCTTGCGATATTGAAAAATAAAGAAAAACAATTATTTTGAAGAAATAAAAAAGATTTACATTTTTTTACTTGAACATTTTTTATTTATTAAATAATAAATCTGATTTGTACAGGATTTTAGTAGGATAGTAGTATTTTAAAGTGTCAAAAATAAAGTGACAGTAACAGACCAACCAGTGTTTTTTTACCAACCAGTACTACCAAACAAAGTAGGCATTTTCTTTGTGCCACTGCATCTCACAAATAAACAAGGAAATTGAATAATCAGACCCTGCAATAAAATAAATCAAGTTTCACTTTAGATTTTAACTCAACTCAAACTCCCTAACTCAGCATCATCAGACAGGTTTTTATGAAGCATGTCCACATTTCCAAGTAGAAGCTGGGATGTTTGGGTGTTTACAATATCCCCTGCTGTGGAAAAAACTCTCTCGCTTGGTACTGATGTTGCTGGGACAGAGAGATATGCTTTGGCCATGGGTGACAGCAGTGGGTAAAACTGTGCATTGTCTCTCCACCACTTCAAAAACAATACAGTTTTTGCCAAGAAGGTGAGGCTTATTGACAGGGCGAGATATAAATATACTGTTGGTACTTGTCAATGTCTCTAGGTATGTAAATGTAGCCCTGTAAATACGATGTCCTTTTGTGTTATCTGTTGTTTTATGTTCATGTTGTAACCTACTTGCTGCCATGTTGGACAGGTCTCCCTTGAAAAAGAGATCGATGATCTCAATGGGACCACCAGGTTAAATAAAGGTTTACATTTTTTCTTTTAATTAAAAAAAATCGCAGTGGATTTTGTCAGTCTCACAACGGTATCGATACATTTATTATCGCGATATTCGATATATCGTTACACTGCTTTAACATGAACTTTTTCTAAATAATAAACCTCCCATTTCCTGAAACTGTCATTACATCAGCACATACTGAAATTAAGAAATATGACTTGCTGCTTTGGGATATCAGTTTCAAGAAGAACTACTTCACCTTGCCATCATTTTCATAATCACTGGCATGGCTCATGCAGATGAGAAGGGCTGAGTTTCCCTTAAGAGGGATGGGAGACAGGTGGGAGGTCTCCTGAGGTCGGGGGCTGATGCTGTACTGAACAGTGGCAGTGCTCTTCACAGAGAAGAACTCAGAGCCTGGAGGTGCACTCCTGAGAACAAGACAAACAGCAGGTTTTAACACATGATGTATAAATACACAAGAAAGACCTGGCTTATTAAACAAAGAGATTGTGTGTTACAGGGAAATGGTATTTAAGTGAAGAAGAGCAGTACGCCTGCAGCCACAGTTCCAATTTCGCAACAGGTGGGTATAAGTTCAGCGCCTACGACGTAGACATCTGATAGTCCCACAATATACTATGCCACCAGGTCCCTGGTTTTCCATGTGTCAGCTGTTTTGCGGTAGCGCCATTACCACATATTTGTTTCAAAATAGGCCACATACAGTCACAACTAATCATGAAATGAACTAATCATCAAATGAATGATAGGTCCACGTCATAGACATGTGTACACTAAAAGTATTTTGTGCAATTATTCCCCCTGTCCACACTGGCAGTGAAGAGACCTACTTCTAATGTGATTCCAACTCATGAGATTGTCAAAAAAGTGAGTATCCTGTAACATAGCATGAAAACAGTGTCCACAGAATAACAAAAAAAAACTGTGCAAAAAAGACTAACAAGTTATCCACTTGGTTTAACAACGTTAGAAATGTTGAAATCTGATAAACACATGGCTTGGGCTTTGGGCTGTGCATGTTGTACCATTTGACTTACATTCCTATCACGTTAGGACAGGATCTGTTCACAGCCAGTAGAGAGGAGGAATGATTACAGCCACCAATAACTCTCTAATTACTGAGAATTGCTATTCTTTAAGATTTAAGAATAGGACTTCTATACTTGACAACACCTTTAAAATAGACATGGGAGCCTGCCTGCAGGCGCCAGTCTCAGGACACCTCCACTCTCAAGACAGGAAGTGCATGCACGCTAAGAATTACAAAATAAAATCGCCACTATCAGTACAGCGCCACTTTCCGAACAGGAAATGCACGCAAATACAAAATAAAATCGTACTGACACTTATTATATACATATGTATATATGTATATATGTATATATATAAAAAATAGGGACACCTTGTATTGTTTACTCTCAGTACACAGCATCACTTTCCGAACAGGAAATGCACGCTAATACAAAAATAAAATAACACTGACACTTATTATATCTATATGTATATATATATATATATATATATATATATATATATATATATATATATATATATATTTATATATATAAATAACGACATCTTGTATTTTAGTTACACCCGCTAGACAACAGTGGAGGGTTCGAGAAACAACCGTGTTTGCCGAGTGCAACGCGGCGGAGGTGGGGAGGTTCCAGCCAGGAACCTCCACCCTGCTGCGGGACCCGTGGTGGTACCCCTGAGTCAGACGGTGCGTGTTGGTCACGCTTCATATTGGCCGGCCCGGGAAGGAAGAGACACGCAGAGTGGGGGAAGTCCCCCACCCCAACGCAGCACACCCTCCCGGCCATCAGAGTCGAACCCGCAGTTCGGAGGAACCGACCGCCAGAGCACCGGCACTAGGCCGGGCCGGTGGAGGCCCTCTGATGGTGGGTCGCGTTTGCCATTCGATCAGTGAGAGGAGAGAAGAAGAATGCAACAAAAATGGTCAAAATCCGTTGGGGGGGGGGGAAATGGCTGGACACAGGCCGTGGGGGGGACACCCGAGACCGGGCAGTGTCCCCGGTAGAAGGAACCGGGTGAAATAGCCAAAATTAATAAAACCGGGGAAAATAGGGGGGAAAGTGAAAAAAATAGGGCACTCGTGTCAACTTTTACGAGAACCAGGCTGAGGGGGTCAAAAGGGCTTGACCAAGGCCAACCCAAAGTGCATGGTGAGCGGACTCATCACCTCCGTGATGAGTCTCCATTGTGATTTGAAAACTTCCATCAGACGGAGAAGGGTCTAGCTGCGGCCGCGGCCAGTACACGACACTACACGACACGCCCACTACACGACACGCCCACCTGACACGACACTACGGTGGCTGAGAGACATTACCATACATGGCAGATTAAAAGCGAATTGACGACACTGACGCTGATGCAAGGATATTTAAAGAGACATGAGGTTCAGAGAACAGACAAACAATATGGCGCACCGAGTACAGGTAATTAACGTATTGTGGTTTTAGATATAATTACATACTATTTAGGTTCTCGTTTGTTTGTCGATGTGGCTGTTTAGCGCAGTGTAATTGTGTTTATTTAGCTAATTTGTATTTTAAATATTAAATGTAAAGGAATGGAATACATATAAATATATATATATATATATCTTAGCTCTTAGCTTGACATGCTCGACGTTCAGTTAGCATATATGCTAACTGAACATGCTCGTTCAGTTAGCATGTCAAGCTAAGAGCTAAGATATATGTATATATTTTAGCTTGACAGATGGAACAATGCATGTACTCGCATTTTTACAAGAATCTGATTTTAAATATTCATTGAAGGTGTCTTTCACATTTGAATGTTTTAAAAAAAAAACATGTATTAGCTGCTATACTGACATGCACATATGTATAATTATATTATTATTTTAAGTGTGGTTTAAAGTTAAATGATATATAGTTATTGGGTAGAGCCAAGTAACCCAGGTGGATGCAATCAGGCCTCTGTTTTTAGATGGGGTTTGTGGCCATGCTGTAGGCCTGACATTTAAACCATAGACCGTATATATAAAGATTTAAACTAGCTGAAGGGCTTTCTGTTCGAACCACAGTGACATCTAGAGGTTGTTTTGTGCATAACATGTCAACCAAAAAGGTAGAGCTGGCTGAATCAGATGGAGTTAAACTTTTTTTTTTTTCAACAAGATATCAAGACACAAAATGTGCTCTACCAAATGGTGGCGCTGGCAGTTAAAGGGTTACCTTCTGAAAGTGAGGAAGTATGACCAGCTTTGTCCCATAGGATTATACAGGCCAGTCCATTGCTGCTTGTTTAAGGAGTTAACTATTTCCAATATTAAAGTCACTGAAATTGTATTCTATTTTATTCACCTATAGACAAACAACACAACACTCCGTGATGGAGCACGCCCAGAGCTCAACAAATTGGACTCGGACACAATGAAACACTGGCTTGCTTGTATCAAATCAATACAATTCCCACATGCCCTACCCCGGAACCTGCGGTCTTCAGACTCTGGCCCCCCGCACCAACCTGCGATCCTTCGGGGACAGAGCCTTCAGTATGGCAGCCCCCACTCTCTGGAACGCTCTCCGTGCGGAGATCTGCAACATCCCCACGCTTGACGCCTTCAAAAGGGCCCTCAAGTCTGCCAAGGTCTTTGGCCCCAAATCTATTTGTGTTGTCTGTCTAACTGTTCGTCTAACTGCCTTTTGTTATGTTTGTTTCTACTCCTGTTCTTTTTAAAGCGACCTTGGGTCTCATGAAAGGCGCTATATAAATCCAAGTTATTATTAATACATCATTGGAACGGTAAGAATCTCAGCTACAACACTGACTAAAGCCTTCCCATCTCCAGTATGCCTACATGACAAGCATTTTTATAATATACAGTAAACATATCTTTGACTTATTAGAGAAGAGACAATCATCAAGCCAGATACCAAGGTATTTACAACAGGCAACCACTTCAATTACTTTTCCTTTATGTTATTGTTATTTGGTTTTTATTAGTGCTTTTGTCGTTTTGAAGGAAATTAAAATACTGTATTGAGTTGGTTTCTTCTGTTTTGGAAGCCTTGTATATCTTTTTGGTCTTGTTAGAAATACCCCATGGTAAAACAGTGTTCTAGCAGCAGTTAAAGAAGCTTAGTTTGCTGTCTTAGACTGCCAGTTGTATTAAGATGGTTTGTTCACAATTTACACATAAAACCTAAATGTTCATCTGTTTATTGTTCTTCTTCCTTTATATTCAAAGCATGTTGATTGTCTATTGGCTATATCTTGACATTATGTTAATTTGATCATACTTGCCATACATTTATTTTAATTTATGCGATTCCTTCAAAGGTTTTGTAATAGACCCCTAGTACTTTTAATTTATAAAGTAATAATAATACATGTGAATGATTGAGCTCATTAGTGGCCTGACTGGCCCTCCTAATTTGTTCCTTAATGACCCCATGATGTGATAATGTATATCTTAAAACCTTTAACAACTATATTTAGATGTTCACAAATATCTACATTTATGTATAAAATACATGTGTAGCAGTTAGACAAACATAATCAATAGATCATCTCATTAATACCTATTTTATATATTAAAAAAAAGTTGACTAAACCACCGTTTGTTGACAAAATGATTTGGGTTGAAAGTTATACTGTTGTGTCTCAAACGGATAGACTAGGTTATTAATTTATTTGCCTAATAGTTGCTTAAAATGCTACAATAACATTTGCAATTCGTTTTTAATCTGCCATGTACGATCTCAATAATAATAAGTGTCGTCAATTCGCTTTTAATCTGCCATGTACGGTAATGTCTCTCAGCCACCGTAGTGTCGTGTCAGGTGGGCGTGTCGTGTAGTGGGCGTGTCGTGTAGTGTCGTGTCGTGTAGTGTCGTGTACTGTCCGTGGCCGCAGCTAGACCATATTGATCAGACGAGTCCTTCGGGGAGCGGAGAAAAAAACGTGTTCGTCAGAATCGTCACTTCCTGTACTGAGAGTGGAGGTGTCCTGACAGTGGAGCCTACACCGGAACTGTCCTGAGAGTGGAGGCCTGCACGCAGACCCCTCTCAAAATAGATGCCCTCTCAGTCTCGATTGATATCAGACTTTTATTTTTGGATATTCCAAAAAAAAACAGAGGGGATCTGTGTGCCGTTCTTCCCACTCTACCCAGTCTGGGATCAAGCCTAGCTCTGTTGTGCTGTGGAGGCTGGCATTCGGGAGAACGTCTTACTTACATTGCTTTGGTACAACAAATCTCTCCTGTTGGATAGCAACAAAAGAGGACTGTGGTTGACTGCCTTATACTGTACAAAACAAATCGTTGTGGTCTGCCATCACCAGGATCTGCATTGAAATGACATCCTCCTCACAGCTCTGTTTAATGTGGGCAAACAATGGCATTCTGCTACCCTCTGTTGCCCTTTTATTTGGTATACACACGTTTAATGTGGTCTACACAAACAATCCTGCCATCAATTCTACCTTCATAAATGTTATAATGTTCAGTTTGAATGAAAGTGTTTTAAAGATGGGTTGACTCAACTTTATGACCGGTTTCAGGATGTAATTACATTACAATGACTAAGTGTCATTGTTTAGTACACCCTTATTGATATAAATAGGGTGGAGTAATCCAACAAAACTGTAGCTGCCAAAATTAACATTAAATTAATTCCACGTCTCTAACTGTAGTGTAGCTACAGCTACTTCAACCTATTATAAACCTAAGCTTATTATATAACTGATGTAATAGACTGTATAGCAGAGGTGGGGATATCGAGTCGCATATTTTTTGACTTGAGACTTGCTTGACTAACATTGATAAAAGACTTGACTTGGACTTGGTATTCATGACTTGAGACTTGACTTCAGCTTGAGACAGATGACTTGAAAGGACTTGACTGTTTAAAATTAAATATTTGCGTTTGTTTTTGTAGTGAGATATTACGTTTAGTTTTTTCGAAAAACGTGATTGGGTGATTATAGCGCCATGCGCGCAAACCTGGCAACCCACTAGACGGCAGGAGTGTCAGTTAACATGGCAGCGGCTAGCGTTACTCCAAAAATAGTGAAGTTCGGATTCAAGGATTATGTTGTCGATGACGCTAATAAGAAGAGAACAGCGGTATGCAGGGTCTGCAGCATAAAGATCAGTGACACGACCACCACAACATCCAACTTCATTCGTCACTACACAAAAACCCACAGAGAAAGGTGCGTGAATGTGTTGTTAGCTAGAAAGCTAACGTTAAGTTTAAGCTACGTTAGACTTGGTTTCAAATCGATTAAGCATTGCAAAGAGAAAACAAAATGGTAAATGAACACTAGAACCTCCAAGGGATTCATTTTGACTAACCCTGATACTGACAGGCTGTCAGGAGAGGGAGAGAGAGAGAGGAAAAGAGATGCCTCGTTTATTTCCCCTGTGTTGTTATCAGAAGTTACTGTAAACTTTTGAATAATGTAGTTCATCTACTTTTAGTAGTTTGTTTAAATGTTTTAATTATGTTGTTTTTGTTTGTAGAAGTGCATCATTCCTTGATTTATTGTAAAATGAATCTGAACTTTTTTATCTGTTATGATGATAAACTGAAGCAATTTCTAAATTAACCCAATTAAGTGAGTTTTAAATCGTCCTACTTAGTTTATAAGGAAATGATGAAGAGGAACAAATTAAATGATTTGAAAATGATATCTATGTAGGTGCTGACGCTGTTGGCGGTTCTAGTGTTAACAGAAATTTAAATTAAATATGTGTAATGGAAAATGCCATATATGATTTTCTTACCTGGAATTCTGCCTTTTTGAACAGACTTTTTGATTGAGTCCTAGCTATATTGTCTGCAGTTCTAGGGTTAATATTAATCTAATATGATTGTCATCGGTCTAAATTAGATTTCAAATGATTAACTGTGTATGTAATGAAGATCATAGTGTGGGTTGAATCCATTTTCATAACCACTGTCTTTTAACTGATTTAAATGCGGAAACTGGGCTTATTCATCAGAATTTCGTATGACTTGACTTGACTTGACCTGAGCAATGACTTGACTTGACTTGCTTGACTCTCACCACAGTGACTTGGGACTTGCTTGATACTTGTAGGTCAAGACTTGAGACTTGCTCATGACTTGCACATGTAGGACTTACTCCCACCTCTGCTGTATAGTTTTAGAAAGCACCTGATAAACTGGCTACTGTATTTGTTTTAGGAAAATGGGAATCTTTAAAAAAAGTAAATCAATAAATTAAATTTCTTTTTAAATAGCTTAAAGGTAGGGTAGGTAAGTTTGAGAAACCGGCTCGAGATACACTTTTTGTTATATTCCATGGAATGCTCTTAACATCCCGATAGCAATGAATATCTTAAGTGCTTTGACAAAAAATCCATAAAAAAATGTCATCTGTGGAAGCCGTAATACTGTAAAAAGCACGACCAATCATTTTAGCCTGCCCGGCTAAAATAACTGGATGGGCTACCTGCCTGTCAGCCTTCCATCTGTGCACAAACTTATCTCGTGCCCTCATTGGTCATGTGCGCGTTCGTGTGTGTTAGAGGGGCTCTATAAGGAAGTGGCAGATTTTCTCCGGTTGTGTATTTTCAAATTCTAGCAATCTCGAGCCGGTTTCTCAAACTTACCTACCCTACCTTTAAAAGACGTTACTATTTTCACAATAGAATAAAATACTTTAATAAAGGAATACATATAATTTCCCCAAATCAACAATTAGCCACACACAGCCCAGTTGTAGATATATGTGTTAAGTGGGCTCTGTAGAAGACAATGGGTTGAACAATAGCCTACCTGTTCAGGTTCACGTTAAGTCCCGAGCCCACCACGCATACGACGCTTGTAACGTGGTCATAATCTACTCTGAAAGTCCGGGGGTGCATCATGGCTGAAGTCCTACTGCAGTCCTACTGCAGTGTACGAGACACTCACTCTGACACTAATGCTGTACGGTTGTTCCGTTGTTGCAACTGAGGACGCAGACCGGTTTTGCACAGTGTCTGCCTGGGCATGCCTGGGCTGAGATGAGAACAACAAGATGTGGTGCAGTATGGGGTGTGATTTGTGCCAAAGAACAGAAAACTAAGCTAACTGAGGGGAGAACTGGCGTGTCAACGTGCGCCAACGCCTACATCAATTTTGATTGGGTTGACGTAGAATACAGGCGACATCATGACGATGTCAGACGTCACGGCGACGTATCATAGGTGCGCTCAAAGTATGCGCTCAAAGTATGCGCTCAAAGTACGCGCTCACGTGGCGGCGGCGTAGCTTAGAAAGCGATATCTTAAAGCTCCCATGTCATGCTTTTCCGGTTATTACCCGTCCCCTTGTGTGTTATGAAGGTTTTTATGCATGTAAACGGTGTGCAGAGTCAAAACCCTCAAAGTACACCCTGTAGCGAGTAAAACTCTAACACAGAAAATACCTCCCCAAAACGCCTCGTTGGAGATACGTCACTGCCCATTTGATTCTTCCGGGTACCGCATGATGTCATGCGGTACCCGGAACGAAATGGACCAATCCCGAAGAGCTATGGCCACACCAGCAGCGGCGTGTTCCTCCTCCAGAGGTTCGAAGAACCGGCATTTCACAGACGAAAGCTTCCAAAACATTGCCCAGTTTGAGGCCGGATATGCACAGCTTGTTTGGACCGTTTGGAGCAGGGGAAGATCCGGGTATACAACCTGTAAGTTTGCATTGTTATTTGTGTATTTATCAAACAAGACTGTTTAAATGTGTAAACTGTGTTGGACTGCTAAGCCATTGACACAGTGCTAACTGTGCTAACTAAGTTGCTAGAGTTTCCATATATCAACTCTAATATCAGCAGATGGCCTTGCATACATGTATCTCATAGCAGGAGAATGTCTGCATTCACACACAAAATACCTATTGACAGTATACTGCGGGTGATTTGCCGGTCAGTCGCGAAACGTAATTACATTATAGCTGGCGTAGCGATCTAACACACGGAGCTAGAGCTAGTTTTGGTCAGAAAAACATTTTTGTGATGCTACGTTGCTAGCGTTTAAATATATCAACTACAATGTCAGCAGATGGCCTTACATGTTTGTCATGGCAGGAGAATGTCTGCAGTCACACACACGGAATACTCATACAGTATACTCCGGTTTACCGTACATTGTGACCGTACATATACTGCATGTAGCTAACGAGGCTAGCTGTATGCTAGCGCAAAACAATGTATTCATGCAAGTTACATTGTATGGTAGCAGAATACCCGTATACGATTGCAATTATAAACACGTTATTGCTAGCCTAATATGAACCACTAGCTTTTGTTCATAGTAGTTTTATTACACTGCATTATAGTTGCCTTTCCTCCAAGCTAACGTTCATATCGTGTTAGCTACCAAGGTAAACAAAGCTAGGTTAGCATATTAGCAGGCAAGCTGTTCATTACACAACTACTACTAACGAATCTAAAACAACTAAGTTTCTCTAATATTTTGTGATTTGCATTTGATTTCGTCCAGCCAGATCCTGGCGGACAATCCATGACGGGGAAGGGATTCTACTACTACTGAGGGCTCGTGCTAAAAGGCACCGCACCGCACCGGCTGTGCGCAGGCAAGAGGAGGAGGAATGGATGATATACCGTGTGTATATATGTATATTTATGTTCATTTTGTACATTTCTAAAAATAAAGTTTAATGGAAATACTTAGTAGGCCTATCCTTTCTTCCCTGAATTCATATATAGCAAACCATGATTTGATTTCTCATCAAACAGTAGTAGTTTATAACGGGTAAAAATAACTTACTCTTTGTTATGAGAGTAGCTCGTAGGCCACAACGGAAAGACAAGGAGACATACACGAGTTTACAAAACCACGGCACATTTATTGTGGTAAATGCAGAGACAGGTGGTTGAGAGGATCGCAGAGTTAGTCTTCCTGCAGCCGCTTTGGAGAGAGACTGGGGCCGTAGTGTCCGGAGGTGTCCGTGATCGTGCTGATTAGCCTCTTCAGCTCCACCCCATCGTAAGACAAAGGCCCTGGGGCCGTCACACTCTTCTATAACAACAGTTAAAAATATATATGTATATAAAATATACCGCTGTACCGACGCCATGATAAGACTGATGTTACGCTGAGAGCAGCCGGGAAAAGCACTGACATGGGCGCAGCATCTCTGGTGGTTGACTAATCGGAACGAGTGGCCGAGCTGACCAATCGGAGCACACTAGGCTCACAGGGAGGGGGGGCAAGAGCTCCAACGAGTCGTTTAGTGGAGAAAGTGAATACTGCTGAATACACATGCTTGACAGAGATGCTGTATGCGAAACCAATGTGAGTTTGGAAAATTGCACAGTATAAATCTATTTTAGTATACCTCAACAATGTAATTATGATCAGTGGAAATGGCCATGACATGGGCCCTTTAAACTTTGCGCGTTGATAACGTGCATATGGATAAGCGCGTGAATAACGTACGTGTGGATAAGCGCGTGAATAACGTACGTTAGCATTGTATAGCATTATCCTAGCATTATATTGGTAGTTTGGAGACCTTAATTCATTCAATGTTTACATTTAATATTATAAATAATATATGCATGTCTGAAGACAATATATGTATGCAAGAGAAGAATGTATGTATGTGTGAGAGAAAGTATAGTGGAAACGGATGGAGTATAATTGAAACGGAAGGCAGGTCATTATCGCGCTGTGATTGGCTTAGAAGGTCGAGCAGGGCGGGCTCATGTTCAGAACTTCGGATTCAAATCAACATGATGGAGGGAGAATCTGTGTATCTTCGGACCATTTGTTTTTCTTTATTAAACAAGTAAACGGAAGAGCGTCTGAGAGACGTTTTTGCTTTTTGTTTTTTACCTTACTAAATGGTCTAATGGTCATTGGAGCGAGGTGCAGGGCAAAACTCATGGAAGTAATTTAAAAACAAAAGCACTCGTTTGCTTGGAACTGTGATAATATTATAAACAAGGGGAAACAAGGGGAATTTAGCGATCACAACGAAAACGGCCAAGACACACATTAAGCCCAGAAAATGAATGTTATTAAGGGCTTGTTATGGCCTCCGCCTTCTATCTGCCTATTAACCTGTCTGTAAGGGTTTGCAGCTGTGTGTGTTATATGTATATGAGCTGTGCCATTGCCCAGACGCCATTGGATGCCGGTTTCCTGTTCCTCCCCCGGTAGGCGTGACCGAAGATCTGGATTGGAGCAGGCCGGGCCCGACTCTCCAATCCCCGCACACACCTTCCGGGACCGTGTGCACCGTGTTAGTCGAGAGAGGTCTGAATCTGTGTCAGACGTCTCGCGGCTCTCGCTCCGTACATTCTGTTAACAGTGGTTAACTAGCTTGGCACTCGCTCCGTACATTCTACAGCAGCATTTTACACCTTGGAAAGTCTTTAGAGACTGGCCTGGATCGCTGGTCACAACTATCCTTCAGCAAAGTGACACACTCTGTCACTCTGGTTGGCCTCTTATGAAGCTGCTGTTTTTTAATATATGATTATTTCTCAGCCGCTAGTTCGTTCCTTTCTGGTAGCAGTCAAGTAGTACCGAGTCCAACAGTGTCAGTTTTATCAACAACTTGTGGTAAAAAATATTTGCATCACTCGTCAAATATACAGTGGCGGCGCTAGGGGGCCAGAATAGCCATAGCACAGGATAGCCATAGCACCCCCTAAGCACCCCCAAGAAATGTGTCTTTTTTATGTGTGAAATTCATAATTTGAAAAATGATTGATTCGAAAATAATATGCTACAGTACAAGTAGCCTACTTCTGTGTTTCTGTGTTTCATTCAAGCTCTGCTCTGTGTGTGTGTGGCACGAGCCATTTTGTGCGCGAGAGAGAGAGAGAGAGAGAGAGAGAGCGCGCACCGGTACCGGAGATCGTTGTGGTTAGCATCTGGTGCTAGCTCAATTCAATTCAATTCAAAACCTTTATTTATCCAGATGAAATCCCATTGAGATCATTGACCTCTTTTTCAAGGGAGACCTGCAGCAGTAGGTTCCACATGAAGACATAAAAACATAAACAACAGAACAACAAAAGGACATCATACAGCAAAAATTACAGGGATTACAATTTACATATCTATCCACATGTACAGGTACCAACAGCATCTGATTGTGTAGCATCCAACCGAGCTTTAAAAACATGTAGTGGTACTAGATTGGTAATTTTCCATTCTTTTTGCAGACTCTTCCAAGTTAGTGGAGCTGCACATCTAAAAGCTAGCTACGCTAACGGATATAAGGAGCTTTTTTAACAACAAGGTGGAGGGAGAACTCTCTCCTGTCAGACTGAGAGTATCAGATAACCTCAGCTCAGGTGAAGTAAAGGACTCTCTCAGTGTTTAGATAGTTAACTTTAGTCTAAGTTATCTCAGTGGGTCTCAAACGGTTTGGTCAAGATTAATGTCAATAAGTATTTCCGAGGCACACAAAAAAATAAGAGCATAAATGAAAAACAGGTATGAAATACTATATGACAGTAAAACAAGAATACAGTTTAAAAGGGGAGTGATTTGTAAAATATCAATAAAGAAATAGAAAATCTGTTTACAGTTCTGTTTCATATGGGTGTTGAGAGATGTATCCATAGATCTCTTAAAGGTCCCATGTCATGGCCATTTCTACTGATCATAATTCCATTGTTGAGGTATACTAAAATAGATTTATACTGTGCAATTTTCCAAACTCACATTGGTTTCTCATACAGCATCTCTGTAAAGTATGTGTATTCACCGGTATTCACTCTCTGTCCTAAACGGCTTGTTGGAGCTCCTGCCCCCCCTCTTCCCGTGGGAGCATGCCCCCGGACCCCCCTAGAGGATGTTAGGTCCTTCCCCCACTTATAAAAAATAGCACTTTACCCCTGCTTACACCTATATGCCGTGAGCTGATTATCGAGCCTTCATTGTAACAGTCGCGGGTACACTGTGTATGTGCGTGTGGGGA